CTTGAGGCCAGGAGTTCGAGACCAACCTGTGCAACATGGTGAGACTGTTTCAACAACAGCAGAAAATAGCCAGGCATGACGGTGCATGCCTGTAGGCCTAGCTACTTGGGAGTCTGAGGCAGCAGGATCGCTTGAGCCTAGGAGTTTGAGGTTGCAGTAAACTATGATCATGCCACTACACGCCAGAAAGAAACCTGTCTATAGAAAAAGAAAAAGAAGAAGAAGAAAAGAAAAACCCTGTCAACAGTAAAATGGACAGCAACCCACACAATGAAGAAAATATTTGTAAATCACATATCTGATATAGGATTAATATCGCAAATATAGGAAGAACTCCTAAAACTTAACAATTACAAAGAAATGTGATTTGCCTGGTTGAAAAATGGACAAGATACTTAAATAGATGTTTCACCAAAGATGTTACAGAAATGACTGATAAGCACATGAAAAGATGCTCCACATTATTAATCTTCAGGGAAATGCAAATCAAAAGAACAACAAAACACCATCTCACACCAATTAGAATGGCTACTATCAACTAACAGAAAATAGTACCTGTTGGTCAGGATGTGGAGTTATCCAAACACTTGTGCCCTGCTTGTTGTAATGTAAAATGGAATTGCTGCTGTGGAAAACAGTATGGTAGTTTTGCAAAAAAGTAAAAATAAAATTATTATTTGATGTAGTATCCCACTTCTGCATGTAAACCCCCCAAAATTGAAAGCAGGGCGTGGAAGACATATTTGTACATCCATTTTCATCGCAGCATTTTTTTGTAATAGCTCAAACATGGAAGCAATCCAGGTGACAATTCATAGACACATGGATAAGGAAATACGGCATATATGCACAACGGAATATTATTCAGCTTTAAATCAGAAGGAAATTCTGACATACACTACAACAGGGATGAAATTTGAGGACATTATGTATTCAAGTCCTTTGCCCATTTTTGAATCAGATAAATCATGTTTCTTTGTCATTGTTGAGTTTTGGGAATTCTCCCTATATTTGGGATATTAATCCCTTATCAGATATGTGGTTTATGAATATTTTCTCCCATTCTTTGGGTACTGTTAATAGTGTTTTTCCCTTCCTTCCTTTTTTCCTTCCTTCCTCCCTCCCTCCCTTCTTCCTCCTGCCCTCCCTGCTTGCCTCCCTCTCCCCCACCCCCGCAGACAGTGTCTCTATCACCCAGGCTGGAGTGCAGTGGCACGGTCATAGTTCACTGCAACCTCACACTCCTGGTTGCACATTATGAATTGTACACTTAAAAGTGGTTAAGAAGTTAGATTTTATGTTATGCGTATTTTACCACAATAAAAAATGGAGGAAAAAAAAGAAATGAGCTCTCAAGCCATGAAAAGACATGAAGGCAAACTAAATGCGAATTACTAACTGAAAGGAGGCAGTCTGTAAAGGCTACATACTCTATGGTTCCAACTATGTGACTTTGTGGGAAGGCAGAACTATGGAAACATTAAAAGATTAGTAGTCAGGAATTGGAGAGGGGGGGAGATGAATAGGCAGAGCACAAAGGACTTTTTTTTTTTTTTTTGAGACAGAGTCTCACTCTGTCGCCCAGCCTGGAGTGCAGTGGCACAGTCTCGGCTCACTGCAACCTCTGCCTCCTGGGTTCAAGAAATTCTCTGCCTCAGCCTCCCAAGTAGCTGGGATTACAGGCACCCACCACCACGCCTGGCTAATTTTTTGTATTTTTAGTAGAGACGGGGTTTCACCATCTTGGCCAGGCTGGTCTTGAACTCCTGACCTCGTGATCCACCCGCCTCGGCCTCCCAAAGTGCTGGGATTACAGGCGTGAGCCACCACGCCCGGCCAGCACAAAGGACTTTTTAGAGCAGTGAAGCTATCCTTGCCCATACTGTAATGGTGGATACATATCATTACACATATGTGAAAACTTATATGATGGAGAACATCAAGAATGAGCCCTAATGTAAACTGTGGGCTTTGGGTAATAATGATGTGTCAATATAGGCTCATCAGTTTTAACATGTGCCATCTGATGCTGAGTGTTAATAGTGGGGAAACTCGTGTTATGTGGTGGGGGGAGGCTATGAGGGGCATATGGGAACTCTCTGTACTTTTTGCTCAGTTTTGCTGTTTTTCTAGCAATTGTTAATTATGAAAAATGTGAAAAAAAAGTTACCAAAAAGTGAAAATTTTTAAATGACTTTTATTTATGTATTTGTTTATTTGAGACTTGCTCTGTCTCCCAGGCAAGAGTGCAGTGGTGCGATCACAGTTCACTGCAACCTGCACCTCTCAGGCTAAAGCAATCCTCCCACCTCAGCTTCCCAAGTAGCTAGGGCTACAAGTGCGCACCACCACCCCTGGCTAATTTTTGTGTTTTTGTAGAGATAGGATCTCCTTATGTTGCCCAGACTTGTCTTGAACTCCTGGGTTCAAGCGATCCACCCATCTTGGCCTCCCAAAGTGCTGGGGGATTACAGGCATGAGCCACTGTGCTTGGCCAAATGACTTCATTTTAATTGTATGTTTAAAGATTTTTCTTTAATTATGTTTCTTTTCCAAATATAAACTCAATATTTGGTTAAACAGAAATCAAAATACATTTTTACTTAGATGCAAATGTTATAAATAGTAATTTAAAAGATCTCCACATAATCTCCATAAGTCAATGTAACTCACAATGTGGCTGAAATAATGTACATTTTCAGTGAAAGATACTGTAATATTACTAAGGGTAAAAAAAAAAGAAATGTATATATTTTTAATTTACCCTGAATGCTAATGTTTGAGGAAATACAGGTGTCATTAGAGTAGGAGGAAAGTTTCTGAATACATAAAAGCACTCAAGATTGGTAGCGCTGTTACTTTATCATGCCAGCTTATACTTCAAGTAATTTATTTACTTTTTTTTCTAAATCTATCACTAATTCTGCTCGGATAAGGGGATTTAATGAGATGAAGACAGAAAGAATTGGAGAAGAATGGAAGAGGAGATGAGAAGAAAGTAGATCCTTTTCAGAAGTGAAAATATGAAGTAGACAAGATAAAATGAACATAGTTTTATAAATAAATATGAGTTAGTGATCTATGGGAGAAAACTTAACCATTTAAAATTTACTAATTGCTGAACATTAAAAGAATTGGATTAAGAGTTGGAAGGTTCAGGGTATACACTGAACAAGCATCTATAAGACTTGAGATGTAGATCAGATGTGTATATATTTATGCGTGTAAGTTTTGTATGTGTGATATTTTACATGTTGTGGTTTTGACATTAACATTATGTGAAGCTTTTGAGCAGCGTAAATTAAATATTCACTATGCAATATATTAGTCACGTAAAACCAAATTTATTATAGCTCTCAGTTTTCTACTTAACTTTCCAAACCAAAATATTTAAGATTATAATCACTACTTACATTTTTTCCTCATTTAAAAATCAAATACGAAATTGACAATAGTTAAAAATTGAATTTGCCTGGTATAACTTTGTAGTAGTGTAAATGGAAGATTGTCTCTCATATTAGGAGCTCGTATCTTTATTTTTAGACCAGTATTGTAGACCATATTGAAAAGATAGCTAATAATGGCTTGGATTCTACCTTTAGAAAGTATTTTTGACAATAGTTTCTTTTTTGAATGTCATTTATTAGATAAGCACATAGTTTAATACTCTGCACAGAGGGGTTTTTTTGCCTTAGTATGATTTTCTTATGAGTTTTCATTATGATCATAGACTTACAGCCTCACCACTTACTGTCTGTTCTGTGGTATCTTGGAGGTATTTAGAGTTTACAGATAGATTCATAGCATTTTTTTTATGTGAGAGGAATCTCACAGAAAATATAGTTCAGAAGCTGTATTTTAGATACAAGAAATGGAGATGTAAGGTTTAATGCTTGACTCCAACTCTCACTCTACGCCTGGTGTAAAGCTTGGTGTAATTCCTTATTTCGTGCCCAGGCCTGCTTCTGCTGCACTACATTGTCGCATCTTTGGGGTTGTCTATTCCAACATTCTCTGTCCTGCCACACAAACTGTTTTTATTCAGATACTTTTCAGCTTCTTTCTGCCCCATCCTAACAGTGAACAGTATTGTTAACCCAGCTTGTATACCTGTCTTATGCACCTCAAATAGATTTTGTGAGGATGAAAAGTCGATGTAAACACTGAAGTTCTATGACACAGGTCACAACCCTTCCATTATTGGCCCATAGTGTTTTAAATTCAAATGGGATGTCTTGAATGAATTGCCAGTATTCAAAAATGGATACATTTCACATAAAAATCTGGATATTTCAGTTTTTCTAGGAAGTTCAGTAAATCTTGCAACATGGGATGGCCTTCTTCAGTGATACTATTAATACAGCATGTGCAATTTCTATATCACTGCTTATGCGTTTCTCAGCCCTTGGCCAAATATCAGCTGTCGTTCCTTCATTATCATATCTCCTGCTTTCCTCATTTAAATTAGTTGCCTTAGGCTGGGCCAGGTGGCTCATGCCTGTAATCCCAGCACTTTGGGAGGCCGAGGCGGGCGGATCACAAGGTCAGGAGATGGAGACCATCCTGGCTAACACGGTGAAACCTCGTCTCTACTAAAAATAGAAAAATTAGCCAGGTGTGGTGGCGGGCACCTGTAATCACAGCTACTCAAGGAGGCTGAGACAGGAGAATAGTGTGAACCCAGGAGTTGGAGCTTGCAGTGAGCCAAGACCGTGCCACTGCACTCCAGCCTGGGTGACAGAGCAAGACTCTGTCTCAAAAAAAATATAAATAAATAAATAAATAAATAAATAAATAAATAAATAAATAAGTTGCCTTGATGTCTGCAGACATTTAGGGAGTTCAACTGCTGTTCTCTGAAAATAAAAGTCAAAATTAATAGTACTAGTAAAATGTTTTTCAGGGCATAAAGGTAAGGGTTGGGGAAGACAGACATAAAACAATGAGGAGGTTTATCAATAATGAAGATCACTGACATGTCTTCAAATTTGTTTTTCAAGGCAAACATGTCCCAGGTAAGGCAAGTGGGATTGCTGGCTGCTGGATGTCAGCCGTGGAACAAGGATGTGTGTGCTGCCGGCGGAGACAGGTTTGCATATTGTGCGACTCTGGCTATCTATATTTATCAGGTAAAATAATAATAATTCTTTTCCATTTTTAATTATGTCAGGTAAAATTAATATTTAATGAATACATATTTTAAGTCCTTGTTACATGAAAAACATAATGCTATAATTTCATTTATATTTCTATTTTTAAAGTTTTGCGATTTATACCATATAGGTTTTAAAAGTTAAACCTTTAGAAAACACATTATTAAATTATTAGTAACTTTGGTATAAGAAAATTCTTTTATCAGATGAGGAATGTGGGTAGTCTATTACAGATTATTATAGTAAAATTAGGACAGATATATTTTGAGATATTATTGGGAGAAAAATTCGTGTAACTTATTTTTTTCATGTCCTAGCTCCATTCAGATACCCCTTATCAGTTCATAATTTATAGAGCCAAAAACCGCCTGAATTTCCTCATATGGAAGTGCCACAAGCATGTTAAATCAAAGTCCAGTCTTTCTCCTTAAATTCCAAGTCAGTATCTCAGTGTCACCAGCTAACCATTCATCTAAACCAGAAATGTGATAGTTATCTTTGACTCCCTCTTCCACTCACATCCTGTGCCCTTGGTAGCCAAGAGTGATTCTAATATGTTCCTGATATCTTTCTCACCTGAACTATTATAATAATCTCTTAATAGTCTATTTTTACTTTGGCTCCCACTAAGTTTTTGTTCACTGTAATCAGTTATCTGTAATGCAAATCTAAATTTTAAAGCTTTCAGTTGCTACAAATTCCCTAATAGTAACATCTAAACTTCATAGTACGGCATTCAAATGCTTTTGTGATCTTCCTGCCTCTCTCTTACTCTGTGTTCCAGGTATACCAAACCAATTACATTTTTCTAAGACATCTCAGTCTTTCATATCTTGCCTTTGCTTACACTAATTTTTCAGTTTGCTTACATTGCCTGTCTAGAGAACACTTTCTCATCTTTCAAATCTCAGCTCCTGTATGAACTCTTTTCCATATTCTATTTTCCCCTCTTTCTTAGTAGTAAAGGACCTCATAAAAAGCCTCTCTACATGCTTTCATTTATTAGAAGTGAGTCTTTCCCATCTTTTAATTCTCAAATTTTTGCACACTTTCTGGCACTTAGAAGACATTTATTACTTGTCTTAAATGAATGGGTTTAAGGAAAGAATCTTGAAACTCCAACTTACTTCGGTTAAGACTCAGAATAACTTGTTTTATTCTAGAGCAAAAATTCTTTTCATTACTACATATTAGTTCATTACTAATTGTATTCTGCTTTATTGAAAATTTAAGAAATAATAGCATTAATGTATAAAGCAATCCATTTTCCACAATATAGAGTAAGATTTTAAGTGGTCCATTTCTTAAAATGTAGAAATATCTAGCAAACAAAATGTAACTTCAATGAAACTCACACTTCCTCATTTTCACCCCCTTCATACACAACACAGCAGCAAGACTTCTAAATGCCTCTTTTGTTCTCCCATCTACCTCCTTTACACTCTTTATATAATACCAGGCTTCTCACTCCCAAATCCCTCCTACACAATTTCTCTCCTAATCCTAAGTCCCTGTCTTGTATTTTATTTCCTCCTCAAAGAAGAGAAAGTTATCAAGCAAGTCAAACTATTCTTCTGAGGTAAGGATGGTAAAGAAACTCAGTGGATGAAACCAAAACTTATTTTTTCAAGTTTCTATGTCTTAAATTTGTGATGACGTTTTATGATGAATATTTAAAAATATTGAGGTAAAATTATTAATATAAACAATGTACATGAAAGTTGTCATGTCATTAAGGACTGAAACAAACAAAAATTATCCTAATTTAGAAGGTGATGGAAATAAACTTAGGGAACAGTTCATTACAGTGTCCACTATAAAACCTAGTTTCAAAGTATGCCAATAGAAAATTATATTATTAAATGGTGACATTAACATGAAATTTATGTTAAGTATTGTTTTAAATATTATCATCTCAATTAAAGTGCTTTGAAAATTATGCTACGTAAATATAACATGATACAATTATTTTCGGAGGAAATATTTATTAAATAACACCTAGCACCAATGCATAGTCAAAGTCTGATAATCGGTCACACTCTGGATAATGACACACTTGTATTATATTTTTCTGAATGATTAAACGATAATGGGAAATGGTATTAGAATTTTTCCTTAACTGTTGTTTTGTAATGCACTAATATGCTAATGTACCCTAAAAGTAGAGTAATTTATGGTCAATCTCAATGTAATAGTACAGTTCAATATTACTGAATTGTAAATATCATAAGAACGCATTAGTAGATTAATTCTTGCAAATAGTTCATTGTTCTCTAGTGTGCTCACAGTTACTATATAGATAATTTCTGTAGTAATGTCAATGAAGGTCACTCATATGCCACATAGCTTCTTCACACATTTACTATATTAATAGATTCTTCTATTAATTTCTAACTTATATAGTAGGGCTTTTCTTTTGGATACATTAGATATCCTCACTGTATCTACCATAGGTGACTTAAATTGCTGAATAATTTGAAACTTAAAATCATATTTATTTCTAAAGGTATAGAAAGCACAATTATGTATTTAAGTAAGTCAACTTAAAATTGCTATTGCTGCAGTGCTAATCAGATGAAAACTCCATTGGTAATAAGTTATCTTTAATAATGTTTTAATCCAAAGTTGTCCAAGAATAGCTGAAGTTATAAAAAGAGAGAGAAATTATAGAATAGAAAGCCTTAGGAAATACTTATGTGATTAGTCAAAAATTTTACATACAATGTTCACTGCAGCATTATCTGCGATGGCAGACATTAAGTTACTTAGATGTTAAACAGATTATAAGTGTTTATTCTTTCAATAATATTAACTGAATATCTTCAATTAACCAAGCCTTACTGTGTACCAGGATTGCAACTATGAAGAAACAGGCAAAGTCTTTTTATGGAACTTATATTCTTGTAAAGTGTAAGGAAAGGTGATAAGATAAGTAAACAAATAAATAGGTAAAATTTTCAGAAAGAAGTGTGTTCTACAGAGGCTGAAAAAACAGGTATAATAAGATAGAGTCATGGGATAGGTTCTCGGGAGAGTTATGAATTTAAGATAGCATGGTCAGAAAACGTGTCTCAGAAGAGGTGCATTTAAACTCAGACCTCAATAGGAGAATGAATAACCATGAGCAAATCAGTGGATAGGGTGTTTAGAAGCCAAGGGAGCAGCAAGCCGAAGGCCATCAAGTGGAGGTGATTGGCTGTAAAAGAGAAACAAGAAGTTCAGAGGGATCAGGGAGGAACATGATTTCAAATTACTTTGGCTAAATAGCAGAGATTCGATCGTGTAGAGATTTGAAGGCTGCTTATCAGTTAGGATTTTATTGCAAGCATATGGCTTTAAAAAGTTTGATGTAATAAATATTTAATATCATAATGATTTTTAAAACTTAGAATAGCACTGTGAAAGGCTCATTATATGCTAAAGGGGAGAAAACTATAACAAAAGGACATAAACAATATATTCCAAAACATGCTAAAAATGATAGAGATTAATTCACTAATTAATACAGGTACATGTACAAAAGAAATAGGAAAAAGTAGGCTGTTTATTTTTTCTATTTACATGTAAAAACACAATATAATGTCCTGTCCAAAAAACAGTAAAATTAAAAGAGCGAATGACGTCATTGCTCTGGAAGCTTTGGACATCTTAATAGTGTAATAATGACCAGTTGGCGTATTCAATCCAAATTTTCTTGATTCAAGTATAAGTGAAAAATTGCAGGAAAAAAAAAATTCCAAAACCAAGGGTTTTTCTTCTCATAAATAGATATAGTTATGGAAAATATAATAAAGCTCTGAATTATGCATATTTAAATGTGAAACATTTATTTTTACTTATATTTAAAATTGATGTGTTTTTATTCTCTCAGTTTTTAACATTTTTTTTTCCAGCTGATTGAATATTCCTGAATACACTTGAATGTAGACCAAGGCTTGAAATGTGTTCATGTCTTTATTATTAGGTGAACTAATTTTCATGTATGTAGCTTTAGTTTTGTATAACGTGACTATTAATAGTGTATTATCTTAAAAAAGAGCACTAAAATATGTTATTTATATATTTTGTTTTAGTTGGATCACCGTTATAATGAATTCAAACTTCATGCAATTATGTCTGAACATAAAAAAACAATCACAGCAATTTCTTGGTGTCCACATAATCCTGATCTGTTTGCAAGTGGCAGTACTGATAATTTAGTGATCATTTGGAATGTTGCAGAACAAAAAGTCATTGCTAAACTCGACAGTACAAAAGGTATAATTATAACTGGGATTTATTTTATGGAATAAAACATTTTTATTTCAACAAGCACTATCAATATTATTAGTTCAGGTTTTAAACTGGTATTTTCAAACTTCCTAATGGCAATCTGTATAAGAAATAAAGTTCACATAATGACTTGTGTCCATAGGTACAAAACTAAAACAAAATTTCATGAAATAATTATACTTACAACATATGATGAACTAAAAACCTAGTCAATACCAAATAATTTTATTAATGTTTAAATATAATGTAAGAATTTCCAAAATAAATATAAAATTAGTAATCAGAAAGATGTTCTTATTGAGACAAGTAAGAAGCCTTGGCTGTTCGTTACTCTAGTCCAACCTTTAAATTACAAGGAAAGTATTATGCATATATTTGATGCATTGTTGAGCTGGTTTCATGCCTTTGTTTTTAATTTGGTCAACGTAGAACGTCCTCATCATGCAAATTGGGCTTTATGAATTGGAATAATAGCATTATACTCTTTGTACTTAGAATTGGTAACTTGTATTCAATCTTATCCCATCGTAATGGTAAAGTTAAGTAATAATTATTCTGTGTTCAGTGTCACAATAATTAACTCTCTTTTTGAGCACCATATTTAGCTCAATTGATTATGGTTTTGAAAGCTACTGCTAGATATGTTTTTCAATTCAGCTTCTTCTCTAAAAAATAATTGTTATAAGTTTGAGGTATAAAACTGAGACGTGAAAATCTCACTAGCCTTGTTTTGTTCAAATTTCTTATAATATTCTAAGGCAAAAATACTGGGAATTTATAGGCAATTATCTTAGAATTTGTTTCCATAATAATAAAAAAAAAATCTTTTTTAACTTTTAGACATATTCGATATGTTTAGTATATTGGTTTGTCTTTTCAAATTTAGGTCATTGAGAATGCTTAAAATATCAGTGTAATACTTAAATTTTATTACTCAACTGTTAAAGGTATTTGTCAAATGAAGTTAATTTTCAACTAGAAAAATACGGATCTCATTCCCAAGTTTACGTACCCTGTTTTTTTATTTTTACTTAAAACAACCAGTGTATTAGACAGTGAGTAATGTTTGCTCCAATCTCTGAACAAATATTGTAAAAAGTCAGCTATCCAGTGAGCTTCCATTAATGTAATTAACAATTTTTCTTAAGGCTTTCCGTGACTAAAAAACCAAATTACTTTTGGCGCAATGCTTTGTGATATATAAACAGTGATTGATAGCCTCAATCAAGACTTTTCGTATCTCCCCATGTTTTCTGGTCGTATCTGTTTGTCCGCCAATCACAAATTCTATAGGTTACTCCATTACTGTTTATATTGATCGGTAATGCATTTCCAAGTACTTTAAATCCAACTTTGTGTGAGACTAATTTTAAATAACACAACAAATTTTTCTTGAAATTCTTTCCATCTTTTATGTGCCATAAACTAAAATGTTGCATGATATTATTGTTCTCATAAAGGTGTAACACAAAGTCAATGTTAAGTTATAAGTGCATATAATAAACATAAATTCTAAATGTTATGCAAAAGTAATGATTAATTTTATTACCTCCTAGTGTATTCATGGTTTTATCATCAAACACTATATGCATCACATCCATTCACGGGGGAAGATTTTATTTATTCATCAGCTATATGCACCATAGTTCTTTTGTTACTGGATATACAATTAAATAATACTTTCTAATTAACAGTCCCAGAATGATTAGATAATTGTGGAAAACTTTTAGCAAATTTTTCATCTTTTTCCTTTCTTTGAAAATTTTCAGCTATCAATATCTCCCTCATCCAAATATCTTCCTAATCTGAAGATTAAAAGCTTTGATATTTTATTTGCAAAAAAAAAAATGACTATTTTTGGTGATTTGCATCTTAAGTAACACTTTTGAAATGTTTTAGGCTCATTTTTCGTTTTAGAATCCAGCTTAAGCAAAGTAGAAATTTGCATTAAGTGAACTTTTTTTTTCAGCTTTCAGATACAGTTGTTGAATTTGATCTCACCTCTGTATTTTTACTTCTTCCTTTTGTTTCTAATAATCTAACAATCCATTTAAAGGAAAATACGTATTAGTTTTTCCAAATGTAAAAATTGTCACCAACTTGAAAAAGTCACACTTTATCCAACAGTGGATAATAATACCACTTACCTATCTCAGAATATTGTTAGGAGAATTAAATGGCAGCGCTCATTGGAAGTGCTTGTACATAAGTCACTATAAAAGTGTTTTCTATTATTATTTTGTGACACTTTTTCTGGTCCCTTCACTTTCCTTGCTGTCTTTCTCTAAATATATAGTCAGAGAGCCAGTATTCTGTTGACCTTCTTCTGCTGTGCTGTGTGGTTTGATCCATACAGAGTACCTCATCTCTTTTTTGGGTAAATTCTACTTCTGTTAATGTATCCTAAAACCACATCAACATTTGTATTGGCTTTTTTCATGTATACATTCATTCATTCAGCAAATATTTATGGAGTCCTCATTGTGGATGAGGCCCTGAAGTAGGCATTAGGCTTTGTTTCTGCCTCTTGGAGCACATAGACTGCTGACACAAACCGAACTTACTATCAATCAGCGAATTTCGACTCTGTGTCTTTGTTCATATCATTTTCTCTTTCTGGGAAATACTGCTCATTCTATGTATTTAAACTCTACCCCTCCTTCTAGGTATAATTCAAATCTAATTTCTTTCTAGGACAGTAGCACAGTTGTTTCTAAACCTTTCTGCATATCAAAATCATTTGAAGAAGCTTGTTAAAAATAAATTCCTTGGCTCAAACTCCACATGACCTGATATGTTATATTCCATTTCATGATTTTGATGCAGCCAACTAGTATATCAGTGTTGGAAGATGCACAATCTCTCTCTCATAATACTTATTTTATATATGACTTATTTGATCACAACAGCAGGTATATTAACAATTAACTTTTATATTCCATCTTATCGATTAAAAGGTACCTTTACATAGATGATTATATTTCCTTGACTTTCATGTGAAATAAATGGTCAGCTATTTTTATTCTTATCTCCGTTTTATAGATGAGGAAACAGAAATTTAGAGAAATAAAATGACTTGTTTATCTGAGATAAGGCTTAGATTTGAATCTAAATTCCTGATAAGACATAGATTATAACATTAAATCCATTGTTTTTAAATCCTTATAGTAGCATTTATCTTTTTATTCACTAATCCCTGTCTCCCTAACACATATTTAAAATTCTCTAAAGCAGGAATCTTATCCCATACTACCTTGTACACCTAGAATGCCTAGAGGTCTTATATACAAATACACAATAAGAATTTATTGCTCTAATCTTTAATATATAGTCTACTAAAATAAAGAAGTCTATAAATGTATTTGACTGTATGAAGCAAATGATCATGTCAGTAGTATTTCAACCTAACTAGATACATTTTCTTTCATTGTGGACTTTCCCTACATATGTTCCCTGCAGTCTTTGGGATGTCTTTATAAATCCAATTCCCAAGTAAGAAAGTAATGTGTCTTAAAAATAATAAACATGCTCTTGTATTTTAATTTGTTTTAGAAATGTAAACAGTGCAAGGAATATTTAATGGTATAATCTTATGCCGTATCTCTTTATTATGTATCTGTATTTAATTTATTCCAGGGATCCCCGCCTCTCTTAGTTGGTGCTGGAATGCAGAGGATGCGGTGGCATTTGTTTCCCACAGAGGCCCACTGTTCATTTGGACCATCTCAGGACCAGCTAGTGGAGTGACTGTACACAGAGATGCTCATAGCTTCTTGTCTGATATCTGTATATTCAGATGGCATACAAACAAAAAGGGGAAAGTTGTGTTTGGTCATATTGATGGAAGTCTATCAATTTTTCATCCAGGTAAGAATTTAATTAGTAAGGTATCATAAATAGTATGTTTTTCTTATATATAATTTTGTACTTGCTTGATCTTTCCAGTGACCAGTCCCCATTTTGAATAAAGCCAAAAGTGACAAAATTTTAATTTTGATATTATTGTTAAAATGTTATCCAGTATTGTACTGAGTCTAAATATACATTTGATGTAAAATGTATATATATTATAATACGTTCAACACAGCTGTGAATATTTCACTTGGAATTAACCTAAATCAGTCATTTTTCCCAATTTGTATTTTTAATCAATTCTTTATTTCTGTATATTTACTAAAAGCAACCTGAATGAACAAGGACATACAACGAGAGGATATGATGGCTTACTAATACTAAATATTTTCCCATTCGCTTGTAAAAATACCATTCTGATGCCACGGCTCCTTGGCAGAGGCTTGAAACTGGCATGAAAGAAAAATGATAACCCTTCGAACCCCTATTAGTTAATTGATTTGGCTTAATGAAAGGGTCTGAGAAATTAATTTATGTTCTTACATAACTAATTTACAAAAGTAAGATAGAAACATCAAAAATTACCTGAATTGCTTGCTTTCCCCTCAAAAATAAGTATTTTTAACATTTGGGAAAATGCTTTTAACCATTTGATATCACTGCTGATGGATGTGACTTCTGGCTGGCTAGATGGATGAATGAAAGTGCTTTCTCAGGAACACGGTAACTACTTTCACAAAACAAATTACATTTAATTTGTGTGAAATTAATGTAAAAAAGAAATCGAAATTGAACAAATGAAATTGTGAAAATTTAAACAAATCTTTCTTCAGGAAATAATGTTTCTAAAGTTAAAAAGGATTGTGTAAAACACTGAAACATTGGGGCCATTATATTCTAAATACATTTTAAACAGGGTCTATTTTTACCTTTTAAAGAAAGATAAAAATAAATGTTCCTATACTTCTTCCCCAGCTTCTATCTCAGCTCTTTGTCCCTGCCCTCTGTTGTTCCTTCTGGTTGTACCAGGTTTACATGGGGACAGTTTCACTGATTTGTTGGAGATTAGGATGAGGAGGGATCAATGACTGGTGCTGCTTCTGGATTTGTTGTACCAGGTACCTGCACTGCAACTTCCCTGTTCCATCCTTGCACTGGAAGCCGATTCTGTTTTATAGTCGGTCGTTAAGACTCATAGTTAGGCAATATAATTCCTAGCTTTCTTTGTTTTGATCTGGTGAATACCACTTCTTTCTCTGTAACCTTTATTTCCAGCAGTCTTCCTTAGACTCAGGAATGCAATCTATAATAAACATGGCCGTATGCTGTGTGGTTCCTCCTCTTACCTCTCTGGGTTATGTAACCAAATCTCATTAGTGATATTCCTCCACTTCTTCCCTGGCCTGCACCCAAAGATTTCATCAGGGTTGTGACACTTTCTTTTCAAGCTAGATCTGAAGAAGATGTGAGCAGTGTGTTTTTATTTTATTCTAAATTGCACTCTAGATATTTTTTATATTTTATGATTTGTCATTTTTACCCTCTTGTCACTGAACTAAGGTTGTCTTTTTCTTGCTTTATTATTATTAGGCATCTTTGAACGTTTCAAGCCATAGGACATTGAGACTTTTTATTGTGTATCTAAAATACAAAACATTGAGACAGTGCATGTTTATTTTGACATAGAAAGAACAGGAAAGAAAAAAGGCCACTTTTGTTTTCTCTCTCTTAGGTTTAGAAGATAGAATGTTTAATATTTGAACAATCTGAGCTATGTACCTTCCAGAAGAGGCCATTGTTTTTCAATAACCCCATCTTCCAGTTGTTAAACCAAGTGAAACCATCTATACCTAAGTCAGCGTGTGTTATTTTTCTGTTCCACCCATATATTAGTTTACCAGGGCTGATGTAAGAAAACTAAAACCAACAGCATAGCTTAGAACAACATAAATTTTATTATCTCACAATTCTTGAGACCGGAAGTATAAAATAAGGTGTCAAGAGGGCCGTGCTCCCCCTGAGGGTACTAAGGAAGAATCTGTTCCAGGCCTCTCTCCTGGCTTCCTGTTCCTTGGCGTGTGGCAGTATAACTGCAGTCTTCACATGGCACGTGGCATCCCTGCTGTGTGCGTACATGTCTCTCTGACAAAACTTTCCCTTTTGTAAAGACATAGTCATGCTGGATTAGGCTCTACCCTAAGGGCCTCATCTTAACTTTGTCATCTGCGAAGGCCCTCATTCCAAATAAGATCCCATTGGCAGGTACTGGGAATTAGGACTTTAACGCCTTTTTTGAGGGAGCACAGTTCAATCCGTAACAACCCAGTACAGACTTGTTAACCTCATTTATTCCGCAGGATTTATTTAGCAATTAATACGCACAAAACATTACAAAAGGTACAATCCTGATGGGTATTTTCCATTTGCATATACATGAGCTAATGGATCATGAAGGAATCACTACCTTTTAATTCAAACGCTACATTCTGGATTGTGAGTTTGAACCTGTTAGCATTAATACCAGTATAGCTAGGCTTCTTACTGCTCCTGAGTTGTTAACCTTATCTTCTTAATGACTTACCAGCACCACAGATGGCTCTATCCCTGTGTTACAACATAGGATTTCTGTCCCCCAGGTTCTTGCAGGAACCTATGACCTCAATATCTCTGTTGTCTAGTCCTTCTCAGAAGAAACAATAAATATTCATGGAGAACTGGCCACAATAATGTAGTTCATCATTTTAAATCAGTAATTTTTAAACTATGCTTTGTATGTTTGTATACTTGTGTGTGTATTGAGGGTAGGAGGGCTTCATAGATGATCCAGCTGAGCTTTAAGCCTTCTTCTCACTTTCAGCCTGAAAAGCACCATGCTATCCTGTATTACTTACTGGATTTTCTTGTAAACTTTCTCATGTGAACAGAAGATTCCAGGGCAAAAAAAAAACGGAAAACTGCTTTAGCTGTCTCAAATGTATTCTTAGGCCACGTTCATCAGAGAACCTTTTAAAAAATCTTTATTATAATCATGTTTAAATTGAATTGATTTTCGTATTACTCCATGAATGTGCCTTAATAAAATTTGCCTTGTTTTATTTTAGGAATATTGTTGATGACACTGTCTCTATATAACTGTTACTTAGTGGGAAAAACAGACTCAGTTTCTCCTGCTGTACTCTCATAACACACGTCTGACACTAGATGTGTGAGAGGCTTTCTCCACAGATTAAGCTAGTGGTCACCTCTACAGCAGACACTCGCTGGGTATCCTCCAATTCAATTCCGACACTGTCTACCTGGAGATAGAGTCACATCACACACACTCAGGGATCAGTCCCCGTGACTGTCCCCTCTTATGCCAGTTGTAAGCCCCGGCTTATTTTGCCTGTGCTTCTGAATGACTGGCTATAAATTGAGGTTCCCATGGCCCCCTCCTTGGATTTGATTAGTTTGCTAGAGTAGCTCACAAAACTCAGGGAAACACTTCCTTACTTTATTATAAAGAATATTACAAGGATACAAATGAAAAGATGAAAAGGGCAAGGCATATGGGAAAGAACATGGGGCTTCCATGCTATCTCCAGGCATGCAGCCCTCCAGGAGCCCCCACGTGCTCAGCTCTCTGGAAGCTCCCAAATTCTGCTTCTTTTGGGTTTTTATAGAAGCTCTATTACGTAGGCATATTGATTAAAACATTGGCCCTTGGCGATCAGCCTAACCTCAGTCCCTCTTCCTTCCCTGGATATTGGGAGATGAGGCTGAAGGTCCCAACTCTGTAATCAAGCCTTGGTCTTTCCGGTGACCAGTCCCCATTGTGAAGCCACCTAGTGGCCACCAGCTACCTAGTCAACTTATTAGCATACAAAGAGACACTGTAGAGATTCCAAGGATTTTAGGAGTTGTAATGCCAAGAAACAGGGATGAAAACCAAACATTTATTTCACAATATCATAGTCTCCCTTTTAGAAACACACAGGAGACATGTTTTTCTGGCCTCAATTCTGTGATTATGGGATTGCAGCAAGAGTTGTATTATCTTTCAATTGTGCTTTTTAAAAAATAAATGCTTCCTTTATGATACTCAGGACTAATTGGTACTTTCTGTTAAGGCCGTAGTCTCTTTAACTGTTGCTTCACTGCCTCTCTTGAGAATGAGAGGACTCGCCCAGTGGATTCCCATGTGGTACCTCAGCAGAATTATTATTTTTTCCATATTTCCAGTTGTGTACATAAATTACAAGGAACAATAAGTTTGTTTGGTGATCCTTTGCTTTATTTAATTAGACTTGTTTTAACTCCGTATCTTTCTGGCTTCCCTATTTCTACCAGTAGTCGGGTGTGAATTGTAATTATGGCAGATGGTAAGATGAATGAGAAAGGAATAACAGTAAATATTAAGATGCCGTTTAAAATGTGCACCACTCTTCTAAACTTTTAATCAAATTCATTTAGTCATTTTTTAAAACTCTGTGAAATAAGTATTGTTATAGTCTCCGTTATTAAAAAAAAAAAAAAGAAAAACTGAGGCACAGGGAGATTAAGTATCTGGTCTGAGGCAGCAAAGCTAGTAAGAAGCAGAAGTAGGATTGGACCCAGGCAGTCAGCCAGCTCTGACATTTCCCTTTTTAAATCACTATATGATATTCTTCATTTCAGTAAGCATTTTCCCTATTTCTATGCTGCTGTAACCCAGTGAAATTTGTAATTGTGGACAAGATCTGAGTATATTATTTATCTGTATATTTTCTTACCGCTTTTCGGTAGCAAATGGAAGACACGTTCAAGGCACGAGAAATTGCCAAAGCAGAGTATTGAGTCTGACTTTCATCAGTAGGACAAACAAATTTTTTCTGCATTCACATGTCAGTTATGCCTTCTGCGTATAAATACCACGTTTGTATTTTCAATACCCTCAGAGATAGATATTGTACAAAGAAAAAGTTAACATCATCCAAATTATTGATCTCTTTTTGTAAGTTTTTTGGAAATAATTATCTCTGTATTTTAATAGGTAATAAAAATCAGAAACATGTTCTGAGACCTGAATCCCTTGAAGGGACAGACGAAGAGGATCCCGTTACAGCCTTGGAGTGGGACCCACTGTCTACCGACTATCTTCTAGTGGTTAATTTGCATTCCGGAATTCGCCTCGTAGATTCTGAATCGCTTTCTTGCATAACCACATTTAATCTTCCCAGTGCAGCAGCTTCTGTGCAGTGCTTAGCCTGGGTTCCCAGTGCTCCGGGGATGTTTGTAACTGGAGGTAAGCTAATGCCCGTCCCACAGAGTTTTAAATAGGTGTGTGTATTCTTTCACTGAATTTAGGAAATTGTCCTTTATAGGTTGATTTTGTGGAAAATTTATTAATAGCTCAATTATTATCCTTCATTGTAAATTGCTAGTATACTTTTATTTATATTGTGTGTCATTGATGATAAATAAAATGAAATGAGAAATAAAAATGAAACTTAAGGTTCACTCTGCCAGGTTTCTGGAAATACCTTGGAATATATTATGTATGTGCACACATGTGAGCATGTCTGTGTATGTGCAAAAGACAAAGACAGTTCAATTTCAGGCATAGTAGGATGACAGTGAAGGTGCCGACCAGAAAAACAATGACCTGATGAGAGCTTTATTAGCCTCACTGTCTTAGTCCATTTTGTGTTGCTATAACTGAATGCCACAGAATATTCTGCTGTAACAGAACACCACAAGCTGAGTAATCTATAAACCACCAAAGGTTTATAGTAATCTAAACTATAAGCTAGATTAGTTTAAGGCTAAGCTAAGGAGGCTGGGGTGCCCAAGAGCATGACACAGGCATCTGGGGAGGAACCTCGTGCTGCTGAAAGCAAGAGAGGGCAAGAGCATGAAAGCAAGAGGAGAACTAGCTCGCTTTTATAACAAAGCCACTCTCACAATAAATAACCCACTCCTACACTGTCTATAGTAATCCATTCATAAAAGTAGAGCCCACATGACCTAATTTCCTCAGATTAGACCCTATCTCCTAACAATGTTGCATTGGGGATTAAGTTTATAACACAAGAATTTGTGGGAGGCATTCAGACTCTAGCACTCACTGATCCATGGGTTGAACGGATACTCCTTCATGGTTTCCTAGTCATGAGAGAATTAGCAAAGCTAAGTAGTGATAGGGGATGGGAAGATGGGGGAATTGAGGAATAATAATTAGAAACTAAATGACTCTCTGCTTTTACCATTTAATTGTGTTCAGAGAGAGAGACCTCTGGAAAAACAGAGAATGTTCAGCTACCGTATAAATACTTCCCATATTTGCTTAATGTAAAATAATAGACAAAGACTCTTTATCGTCTCAAAATTTTAAATTCTTGACTTCTTTAACACTTAACATAATACTGATGCCACCCTGTATCTTTGGGTTCTGCATCCGTGAATTGAACCAACTGTGAATGATAAATGTTAGGGGAAAAAATTCCACAAAATTTCAAGAAGCAAAACCTGACTTTGCAGTGTGACAAGTACTACATTGAATCCATGTGAATCATGTGATGTGTAGGCATTGGATTAGGTATAGCAAGCGATATGGCTTGACTGTGTCTCCACCAAAGATCTTATCTTGAATTGTCATTGCCATAATCCCCAACTGTCAAGGCCTGACCCAGGTGGAGCTAATTGGATCATGGGGGCCACAATTTCCCCTATAATGTTCTCGTGATAATGAGTGAGTCTCACGAGATCTGATGGTTTTATAAGTGTCTGGCATTTCTCCTGTTTGCTCTCACTCCATTCCACTGCCCTGTGAAGAAGGTGCCTGCTTCTCCTTTGCCTTCCACCATGATTGTAAGTTTCCTGAGGCCTCCCCAGCCATGCAGAACTGTGAGTCAATTAAACCTCTTTTCTTTATATATTACCCAGTCTTGGGTATTTCTTTATAGCAATGTGAGAACAGACTAATACAGTAAATAATCTGGAAATGATGTAAAGTATACGAGAAAACGTGCATAGGTTATATGCAAATATTATGCCACTTTATGTAAGAGACTTGAGCATTCATGGATTTTGTTATCCGTGGGAGGTCCTGGAACCAATCTCCCATGGATAACAAGGGGCAACTGTACATGAAAGTAGATGGAGTCTTAATTTATGTATCTTAATTGCCTTTAACTTTTCAGGATATAATTAATAATAGGATGGAATTTTTTTTTTTTTAAGACAGTGTATTGTTCTGTCACGCAGGCTGGAGTGCAGTGGTACAATCTTGGCTCGCTGCAGCCTCCACCTCTGGGTTCAAGTGATTCCCCTGCTTCAGCCTCCCAAGTAGCTGAGATTGCACTGTGGCACATGCCACCACACCTGGCTAATTTTTCTACTTTTAGTAGAGACGGAGTTTTACCATGTTGGCCAGGCTGGTCTCAAACTCCTAACCTCAAGTGATCCACCCGCCTCAGCCTCCCAAAGTGCTGGGGTTACAGGCATGAACCATCATGCCCAGCCCAATAGGCATAGAAATTTTTAATGTCTATTATTACTATTACTGAAATATCCCTCACATATAAAATGCACCATTTTTAAAGCATGCGGTTCAGTGGTTTCTAGTATATTCACAAAGCTGTGCAATTATTACCACCGTCTAATTAAAAAACATGTCATTATTCCCCCAGCAACCCTGTACTCATCAGCAGTTACTCTCCATTACTGCCTCGCCAAAGTCCCTGATACACACATGTGCAAACATAAACTGCTCATTACTTTCTGTCTCTGTGGCCTTGCTTCTTTTGGACATTTCATATAAATGGAACCATTCAATCTGTTGCCTTTTGATTCTGGCTTCTTTCACTTAACGTAAAGTATTCAAGATTCATCCATGTTATAGCATGTATCAGTACTTCATTCCTTTTTATGGCTGAATAATATGTCATTATGTGGATATGGCAGGTTTTGTTTATCCATTCATCTGTTGATAGACATATATATTGTTTCCACCTTTTTGCTGTTATAGATAATGATGCTATGAACATGTGTGTACAAGTTTTAATGTGGACTTTTGCTTATTATTCTGTTGAGTGTTTGTCAAGGAGAGGAATTGCTGAGTCATATAGTAATTCTATATTTAATCATTTGTGGAACTGCCAGACTCTTCTCCAAAGCAGTAATTAAGGTGGGAATTTTGGAAGAAAGGAGACTGTCTGATTGGTCTTCAGGTATATCTGACAGTCCTTAATGGCTGAAAGTGGACAGTGGAGCAGTTTATAAACATATCAAAGGTAGAAGGATTGATTATTTAAGGTTAGAAATTGAGGGTTTTCTGTGGCTGGCTATTTCCTAGAACAAGTGTGTGTCAATAGGGTCTTTTTTTGTGGTTATTATAATGATCTTTATTGGAGGAAGCTGCCAAGACAGGCAGTTTCTAACCCTATAAAAGGTTTTGGAGCAAAAAAGTAGTGAAACATGCCAAAAATTTAAAGATTAAATAGTATTTCAGCTATTTGGTTGTACTACTGTATGGTATTGTTATTCAAAGGATGTCAATAATTAGTCCTAAAATATTTCCAGTTGAAATTTTGTTATGCTTTTATGTCTAGGCATTTTAGTTTCATACAAAATTTGTTAAAATATGCTTTTTCCCTGATCTGACTAGATTCTCAAGTGGGTGTTTTACGCATTTGGAATGTTTCAAGAACAACACCTATTGATAACCTTAAATTAAAGAAAACAGGATTTCACTGCTTACATGTACTTAATTCTCCTCCAAGAAAAAAGTGTAAGTAAAAATGTTATCAAAATTTTAATTTTTAAAAAATATTGTATTTTCTATCAAATAAAATGATATAGTGATATATCAAATACTATATGCCACTGAAAAGCAATTTTTTAAAAAAGGCTTTGATAATATATGTGCTCAAGGAACCATCAAAGCTACACAAGATCTAATATTACTAAATTGAAAATATTTAGAGTCAAGTTACATTTTTTAATGCTACTAAATAAGAATATTTAGATAATTTCAGATTACATGGAAAAGATGAATCAATGATATTGATGAAAATAAGTTAGAAATATTAAGAGTGATAGGATTAAATAGATTATCTGAACTGAATTTATGTTTTAAACATGGCCCGTTTAAAATCTGTACAGTTTATAACAAAAACAACCTAAATATTCAAATTATAGCATCTAGTATACATATTACATGTTTGAATACCAGTTGTCACTGGATTAGTAGTTAGTATTATGGATCTTCTGTATCTTCTTTATTTCTGTTTATATTTTCTGTATCATTCATTGCCTCTGTAATTAAGAAAAAATATAATGCACTTAATTTATAAAAAGAAAACAGCTGGAAATTTGGGGGAGGTTTAGAATTAGAACTTTTTTCAAATATCAGGGAAAAGTAATAGACTTCCAGTTACGTCTGTCACCATTGCTCTGTGTGGTTGGTAACATTCCCGTTTTGTATAATATACCATAAAAAATATGGGGTAGGGAGTTCAGTGATGAAAAATTTACAGTGATTGTTTCCTTCTGACTCTATCTTTATAGTATACTAAGTAATTAACAATGGCTATTCAAAGTAATGTTATTTTGGTGTCTAATTGGTAGGCAATGGCAAGCAGTAGAAAATCTCTGTATTTGAACCTATACCTCTTGTACAAAATTGTGAAGTACCTAATAAATCTAGAGCCTGGAAGCTAAGAGAGTCTAGAAATATTAGGACTAGAGAAGTAATATGCTGGATGCTGGCTCACTGTTTAGGGATCTTGCAATTTTTCTGTCATTGTTAGTTCCTTTGTTTAGAAACTTTGAACTGCCATGTCATGGAATGTCTGATATACCAGATTCTTTTCTTTCACGTTTTTTCCTTACTACAAAAGTAGCCCATGTCCATTAGACAAAGTCAGAAAATATGAAGAATAACATACCAGTCTTGTCATTTTCGAGCAATTCTTTTCGGATTACCTCTTGTTTGACTTCTAGGTTTTTCCCTCAATTTTTCAATATAACAGAAAGTATGGAAAAAGAACAATTGTGAAAATGAAATTTTAAAAAGTAAACATACTGAATTCTGAAAAGCATGATTTACAAATAGATTGGTGCATAAAAGTTGTCAACCCACCTATAATGTCAATTAATTAAAGTGTTAGAAAAACCAATGATGGATTATATTAATTTTTAACCAAAATATCAACAAAATTTAGTGAACCAAATTCCTTGCTACCAAATGCCTCTTTCGTCATTTGTGGTTCATTCTAGTTTAGACTTTCTTTGATTCTAAGATTCTGAGAAATGAATGTTATCCAGAATAAATGAAGTAAGAAAAATTGTATTGTATTTTAATTTTTAAAATCCTGAGAAATATTTTCCATATTCCAGTGTATAATTTAATAGTAGATTGGTCTCATAATTTACTGTAGGGTCATTATTTTGGATTATGTTTATGAGAAAATATTTCCATTCACATTCTAAGGACAAGCTTTTTGGAAGAAGACAAAATATGGGATAAATAATATATAAAAATAAACACAGTGATACTTATGTAATTGAAAGTAGGAGAAATCCAAGTCTATGAACAGTAAAAAGAAAAAACAAAACAAAAAAAACACCTAGGAAGAAGAAAGAAAATTGAGATGCCAATGCAGGTCAGATAGTGTTGTGATTCTTATTTTGTGCTAAATTAAAATGAACTATCTATAATCTCAAAAAATTATTTTCTCTGGCTTGGAAATTATTGGCAGAGAGTTACTTGTTTTAAAAGAAAAAATTATATGCATATATGTTTGTGTGTGTGGAAGGAGGGAATAAGTTATTATGGCAGGATTTTGAAAGAAGTTTATAATTCAGAAACAATCATGCTGCGCTTTAATTTATGGGGTGATAAGAAACCACATATTCACAACAGATTGTGATCCCTCAACACGCTAATTTTCATCTCTTGGCTCCATCTGTACTTTAAAATAATATCCAATTTTGTGTTGTATTTTTTGGCAATCCCAAAGAAGTGCTCATGTGGTGGAAAATATGATCATTGCCTAAAGGGTTTACTGGTACAGATTCTGGAATTTTTTTTTTTTTAATGAAGAATCTTTCTAAATTAAGTTCTGTGGTTTTATTCCATAAGAATGTTTTCTTTCCTTCTATTTTAGTTTCAGTCCAATCTCCAACCAAAAACCATTATACATCCTCAACAAGTGAAGCAGTTCCACCCCCAACTTTGACACAGAATCAAGCGTTTTCTCTTCCTCCTGGTCATGCAGTGTGTTGTTTCTTGGATGGTGGAGTTGGACTTTATGATATGGGAGCTAAGAAGTGGGATTTTCTTAGAGACTTGGTATGTATTTAGTCATTCCTTTATTATACATAACACTTTTTTGTGTAAACCCATGATCTTTACTTTTACCTGTATCTTAATATTATTTGAAATTATTTTTGTAAGTAATAATATAATAGAAATTTATTGTAGCTGGTTGAAACATTTTAGAAAATGCATAGAATGATGATAAAACTACTAAAATAATTTTTAACCACTATACTTTTAAAATCTTAATGTCTACTTATATTTTATGTACAATGGAAAATTACATAGCTGTAGTATATTTTGGAAGCAAAACGAGAATAGAATGTCCTTTCAAGAGAAAAGACAAGTTGATCTCTGCCAGTTACTCAAAGCCTTATTGTTCCCATTCGTTAATTGAGTAAGGTTGGATTATGTTTTCTAAGATTTGTTTCTATTGTTGAATCGTTATGATACTTAAGTGATTCCATGAATTCTGTTTTTCTGATAATTAAGCCCCTATATAAGATAAAATACAACCTTCTCGAGATCCCACATTTTTGTCTGGTTGTGTTCGGTGGTACAGCCCCACTACGTAATATAGTATCTGCCACACAGCAAGACTATTAAATTTTGTTGAATGAATGAATGAAGACATGCAATAATACATATTGTGTTGTAATTAATATTTGTCAAAAACCACCGTCTTTAATTTTCCCTACTTTAGAGTTTCTAAAAATGCCCCTGTCTTTTTCCACTGGTTTGAATTAGACTAATCTGGACATTTAAGAAACTTTTAAATGCTAATTATTTTCTTTTGATCTTAGAAAAAGAATCTAGAACTGTAATTGTCCTTATAACTGAAGGGAGAGAAAGAATCAGTAATATTGTATCTTTTCAAGACTTCTCATTTAATTTTATCCTCAAATGAAAAATTGATTTATAGCAAAAATATTTTTAGAATAATCTGTAGCTTAATTATTTTTAAATTTTCATTTTGTAGATATTCATTTGAGGATGATATAATTTTCTTTTCACTTTAACTTTTCTTTTTATATAAACTGTTTCCTAGTGTGGTAAACTTTTTGTGTACTTCAAATTACCGTTTATTTTCAAAAAAATTTATGAAAGGGAAGGGAGAGAAACGTAATACACTTAAATCTATAAAAAGTTATATAAGCAGAAGAGAAGTCATGCAATCTAAATTCAATAAATTTTCTATGACACTTCATATTAAAGTATATTTTACTTAAAATCTGTTAATTTATAATTCTAATAAATGCTGAATACTAAAGCTGCTTGATTATAAATTATCTCAGTTGCTTTTCTGACTTTAAATTGTATGCCAGTCAGGAGGCAGTCATTTTTTCCTTATAGTTTCAATTTTCTTAATATAGACCCAAATTTGAAATTTCTCAAAGTGTTACCAGAAGAAACAGCTCTGAACTACTGTATGTATAAAGCATCTCTAAAGATTCCAGATTACATAGGATGAGAAATATATTATTAATATTTTTTAAAATCTTACATAATTTTAAAAATCTTATTATTAAACATTCCAAAAGGTGTACTTCCATGTGAATATTTGCTTCATTAAAATTAAGAAAAATACCACAACATTTTCCTCTTCTTACCCACCTTCCTGTTGGTAAGAAGAAAACACGGAAGAAACATTTACAATTTCGTTCTTGCTATGTGAATTTTCATATTTCAAAAAATAAAAATTTAAGGCTTAGCAGTGAAATAACATTTAAAACTGCATGTAAGTCCCTGCCTTGATTATGTTCCTAACATTGGAAATGACCACGTGAAACAGCTGCAGCCAGGTGAACCAGTGACTCTAACAACATTTTTCCTTCTTGCTAACCCTTGAGATTTTTCTTTCCTTTACCTCCACCTAAAGGAGAAACTTTACAGTACTTTTGTAGTTTCGTAACGGTTGTGATTTGTGGTATTAATGGAAGTACAGAGTTTTAAGAACTTTCTTCTCTACCCTTATTCTATTAGTTGAGGACTAGAAAACCCTGTCTTTGTACTTCAACCCCGTCTCTAGATCTCAAATGTTAGTTTCGTTTGCTTAAAGAAGAAATTTCTATTCCCATTCCCCAGCATTAGAATAGTTATAATTCCGGCTATTTATGTTGGTCTCTTAATGGATTTTCCCAAAGGCCGACAGTAGTTAAGCACTACTTTACTGGTATATGTTTACATGCATCTGCATATACCACTTTATAGTCTTGTGGGTGTTTGGGATCCAAATCATTGTGTAATGGGAACAAGTATTCAGATTCCAAAGAATAGACTTAGAAAATTTTGGGACAAGGCTCATTAAAAATTGGGCTTATGCCTGATTCTTTTGTTTCTGCTAAAATTATGAGGTGCTTTTGGAGCATTCGTATAAAAAAGGAATATTTGCACTAAATGACTTTTAGTTTGAGTTTCGTCTTGGTCTTCTATTATAGTGCCAGAGGACATATGGTAACTATTAAGTTAATTGCTTTATAGATTTCTAGCATAGCATTCTGTAAGTTTAATAAAAATAGAAAATACCTTTTGCACTGAATTGAAATTGAAAAGTGAGACTTCTGAACATCTTTGAGTTTAGTTGCTGATTTGAGGAACCATGGTTGACTAAAATCTAGGTCTGTACAAAATAATACAGTCATGGCACAGAGAAAATTCAGTCACCATAGTGATTCCAATTTTCTGTTTTTCTTGCCTATATATTTTTGCATTAATATTTGGAAAGCCATACTACATGTGTCGATTTGGGTATACATTGTGGTTCGTCTATTAGTAATGTGAAGTTTTCTCAATAATTATGACTCTTTATGCCGTATTCCTAGGGACATGTGGAAACTATCTTTGACTGCAAATTCAAGCCTGATGATCCGAATCTTTTAGCAACAGCTTCCTTTGATGGCACCATAAAAGTCTGGGATATACATACATTAACAGCAGTGGACACATCCCCGGGGAATGAAGGTGTTATTTATTCCCTTTCTTGGGCTCCAGGTAAGAGATATTTTATTGAAATTGGGAGTGCAATGAAATGGCTTTTTAAAGTTTTATATTCATCTGAGTTACTTTCTTCCTCTTGATCTCTTCTTGTTCTAAATGAATGTAGAGCAAATGAGTGTGAACATATTTGTTGATTCTCTTTTTGCGAGGTTTAAGAAGAGTCTATCTTCAGAGGCACTTTGAGTCCTGGTTTCCTCTATATAACAAGTCATACAGAAAAACCACAGTAAATCAGGATTATCTTCACCCATCTAATATTAGTTGTATTTCTATGGCTACGCCTTTAAAAGTATAATACAATTTACATGATAGAAGTTTTCTGGAAAACTTTAATGTAAATCCTGTTTATGGTTATATATCAAGTAAGTTCACTTGTAACTGTGTAATTCTATGTTAAGTTCACCTTTGAAATACTGAAGAACTTGTATGCCATAATAAGATCTTATCTCTGATCTTAGATGCCACCTTCTACCTTGCTGTACATACAAAGGAGAGATGTCCTATGAAACCTCTGACATTGTCTCCCAAAACATTATTTTCCCATAACAAATGATTTCACACACTTAAATAAATTTTTCACTTTTAAAGTATATATAATGGTTTACTTATTTGGCCTAATAGTAATATATTAATTCAGTAACTATATGCAATGTGAATATAGCTCATCCTTATTTTTAAAATTATTTCTTCATACGCAGGGATTCTTAACTTTGAATATGTGGGCCTCCAGGGGTTTTATATTTCATCAGAGAGTTTGGGAATCTCTTAGAAATTTATGAATAATTTTTAGTGTATGTGTATATATGCCTATATCTGTCAAAGAGTATCATAGTACTCAGATTTTCAGAGTTTCATGATACAAAAAAGGTTAAGGACCACTGCTTTGTGTAGCCTTCATCTCCTACAATGAGGAGAGTTATAAAAAAAGGTTTTACTTACAACTCTTAATGACAATGTTTGTCCTTTAAGCAGAACATAACTGAGCCTGTTATCTTGATTATTGCAGTATGCACCTCCACAGTGGGTTACCTTAGCTAGCAATATAGGAATTGCACCAGCCAGTGCAGTCACCTTGCACTAGAGCTCTTATTAGCTGAATACTCTTCATCCTACAGAAGTATTTATCTGAAACATAAAACATAAATAAAACTTGTGACTGTAAAAACTATTGTTTCAAATCATAACACAGAAGACCTAATCTGACTTATAGCATTCTTTCGCTCTCTACATTGAGAATTTGCAACAAGAAAGTAAAAATGTTAGAAAATGGAAATTCTGTCATTTTCTGTTATGTGATTACTGGTGAATCATGACTTTGAGGTAAGTGGGGATGATATTTAAAGGATACACAAGGGTTGACAAGGATGGAAATAGAGTAGGATATAGATAGTTACATAATTTCCTCTGTATCTTAGTGTAGATAGAAGACGAAAAGAAAACAAAAGCAAATAAATTTTGAAACATATCCCCAATAATTTAAGAACCCCAAAAGGAGAGCAGAATAAAAATGTTAGAAATATGATGAGAACATTTTAGTGTGTATAATCGTTTATCAGAAAGTAGTTTCTCCATATTTTTATTCCTAGATAGCAGATGACAGCTGCTCCTTTCTTCTGATGGAGAAAACCTTTTCTTTCACTGTCTTGCAAAAGGCACTTATTTAAGTCCTTGACCATTCACTTAGCAGTAGTTTTATTCTCACAAATATTTTTTATTTCTTAAACACAGAAAGCATTGTTTATGTTTTTATGGAGAAACTGTATTTTTCATGTGATCTGTTTGTAGAAATACTTTCATAACCATTAAAATACTACTAATCATGGAAATATGAATACAGACTGAATATATGACAATATTGAGGAATTACTGTTAATCTCCATGAGAGTCTGGTCTTGGTCAATAAAGAAGTCCCTGTCTTTTAGACATGCGTACTGAAGTTTTTAAGAATGAAATAATATGATATCAGAGATTTACTCCAAAGAACTTCAGCAGATGCTATAGACAGAACAAGATTGGCCATATTTTGATAATTGTTGAAGCTGTATAATGGATACATTAATTGTATTATTTTATCTGTATTTTATGCATTTAATAATTTCCAAAAAAATTAAAGAATTAATTTGCAAATCTCAATTCTTACATTTTCACAAGTTATGTTTTTTAAAAAGAATTACATTTGTGGGAAACATTTAGTATAATGTCTAACAAATTGTTTCCTAAGGTGGTTTAAATTGTATTGCTGGGGGAACTTCCCGAAATGGTGCTTTTATTTGGAATGTTCAAAAGGGCAAAATTATACAACGATTTAATGAGGTAAGATTTATTTATTGCTACTGAATAATATAATGTTTTATACCATTTTGTATTTTGTAAATATTTTTATTTCGTAATATAATAACACTTAATAATCAGGTGGTATGTATGATCTCTCAATTAGAAGAAAATCCTAAAGGATGCTCACATACTAAAATGAATTCTGAAAATTGTAGCTGAGTCACCTAAAGTTGCATTAGAGAGTCAGAGGAATTTGGGGTCATCCTCCACAAAATCTAGGCAAATACTAAATAATAGGAAGAAGACTAAACTCAGAGCAAGTCGCAAATTATAGTCCTGGTTCTGTTATTAATTAGCTCTTGACATAAGGGGAATCATTTTATTGCCCTAAACCTGTTTCTTCACCTAAAAAATGATGAAGGTGGATTATATAGTTTCTTAGATTTCCTTCCAGTTTTCAAATTCTGTTCTTCCATGAAGAGCCTTAAAACCTGCTCTCTTATATTTGTAGCATCACAGATTTTATTTCTCCTTTGGCTTGGAGTTATATTGTCATCCTATATTTTACTGAGTTCCATTGATATTTGAAAAACACATGTAATCTGATTACAAAATATTAGGTGTGAATCGGGAAAATGATCTAAGATTGTCTTGAAATTTCGTTTATTTTAGGTGGTTACTGTTGAAGCTTATTAAATATATAATTTCTTTGAAAATTGCTTCTATATTTGGAGTTTTAAAAACATCTATACAAAGAGTATTATCCCTTTGAAGATGCCCCTTAATAGTCTTGCTTTCCCACTACTTGTAGTAGTGCAGCAAATGCAGAGTTTTTAGGAAAACTTTATGGACCACTGTGAGCAATTTTGCACTCAAAAAAGGAAACTTTGACAAAGGATTCTAAAACTTACATCCTTCCCTTTCTCTACATACAACACAATACCCTTTCAGTTTAGCAATGCCCCAACCTGCCATCTTCCCTCCCATCACCAAAACAACAATTTATCCCATAATAAATAGTGGATTATAAGAAGAGATGAGCCTAAAAATGAAACTTACAGCCTAGATTCAAAAATTGTGTATCTTTACTTATTAGATTTGTTGATTTTTTCTTATGGCATCTTGGCAACTTGGAATCTCACATATCTGCCCAGTAATACATAAACACTTCCAGCCTGATTCTGGAAACCTAGCATTTAGTATCAAGGACATGTCTTTTATTTCTTTATGTCTTTCCCAGCATTCACTAGCATAGTTAAGACCACTATTGAAATTGCTTAAATCCTATGTCATGAATAAGGGAAAAATTTACAATGCCAGCTTTAATTAACTAAGCTACACGTGTTCCACGAAAAGAATTACGGGATAGTAGAGAGTCATAAATGCAATTTTCATGGGAATAAATGAAGCTGACAGAAGGCCTCCACCTCATAAAATGAATGAATAAAGGGACTAGTCCCATTTTTAAATCTGCCTGCATAAACCTACCCTCCTTGATCCCCAAAGAGGCACAACCAGCGAACTGGAGATTGCTTTAAGTTAAAGCTATATTTACACAGCAACCTTAAGATACAAGATAAAAAGTCACCTTAGTTTCCCCTTAATGGAAGCCACAATTTAAGTACTATATAAAGTAGAAATGTTTTAATTAAAATTTAGAAATGGGTGATTACAACTTTTATTTACTGATCACACAGTTGATGAACGACACTCTCGTGTATAATATATTCCTTCTAGTTTTAAAAATTCTTATAATTCCAGCTATAACTATATCCCCTGGCCCTTCCTCAGTCCTAGAAAGCAGAAAATCAAGCAAATATAAAGTGATTTATTATAGGAATAATGTTAAATCTATTCTGATTTCTTTATAAAATGGAACAACTTTGGAACTTAAAGAAACAACCAATAATAACTGCTTACAACATTTCTTATACTGAGGTTGAAGTAGCACTGTGTTTGGAAGCAGACAGATAACTGTTTTCATCACCATACTGGTATTCATGGGAAAAAGCATTAAGTAGAGCTTAAATCTACAGATCACTTAAGAAGGATATTTTGACTCTTTACCTTGTAGCCAACAGAAGGAAATGGAGCCACCTGATTTATGTCTTAAAACAGCAGATTGATATCTTAAAACTTTTAAATTGTGACAGCTTTAGACATTTTTAAAGTATATGTTCATGTTTCTGCTCTTGACAGTAATGCCTCTGTTAGTGTCATCTAAAGCACATTCCTAATAGAAAAGTAATACTTAGAAGAAGTAAATATATAAGAGAAAAAAAGGGGTGAATTATTTCTTATTGATAGGTATTTTACATTTTTTGAAGCATGGAACAAATGGAATATTCTGTATTGCCTGGAGTCATAAAGATTCTAAAAGAATAGCAACCTGCAGCAGTGATGGTTTCTGGTAAGTACTATGTATGATACATGATAGGAAATTACACTGTTCCCATTTGATCATTCCAATTGTTTATCAGTGATATTTCATTTGTACAGCTCTGCCAACTCTCAGAAGCATTATTTTTAAGCCCATATAGGCACATATTATATTACTATAATGTATCATCAATAAATAACAACGCAAAGGTATTTAAAATGTGTTTAATGAGCCATTCATTGCTTTCTCAATGAAAATACTACTTGAATTGTTATGAAAATACTCATTTTTTTGCCTCAAAGAAACTTTAAGGACTTTTCACATAGTCTTAGTAATTATCATCACATCACATCACAAAATTTGTTTAATAAGCCATTCATTGCATTCTCAGTGAAAATACTACTTGAATTGTTATGAAAATACTCATTTATTTGCCTCAAATAAACTTTAAGGACTTTTCACTTAGTAATTATCACGATGAGGTCACAGTAGTATCAGCAGATATAAAGTGCTGTAGAAACTTGTTTACAGTTTTGTAGATGCTGTTATTTATAAAGGGATAAAAAGCCTTTGCAAGGAGAAATAAGGTCATGCATGTGGGAAATGTCTTTTGTTAGGAAATAACTTCACTGACCCTGTGTTTTAGAAGTATGTGCTTTCTTAAGTTCCAGAAATAAGTAAGTTTCCAAATAAAAGTATGTAAGCAAAAAATGGCCGGTTTAAAAAACTTTTTAAAATCAGATGCTCCTTCCCTGTAGCTATCTATGGGTAAAGTCATCTTTGATAGGTGGATACGTGGTATAGACACTCATGGTTCTTGAGAATACAGAAGTTGTTAGGTTTTGCTAAATCCATTCCAGTCTTCTCTTCCTTACTTTTTAATTTCAGTAGAAAAGACAGTAGTTACAGAAACCAAAGATCCTTACTGGAAAGTTAAAATTTTCAGAAACAACAATATTAGTGATTTTTTTTTCCTTGAAAGAAACTATGTGCTAATTGATAGATACCAAAATACAAAAGACGTGAGTTTTTTGATTAAGTGATACAAAATTAGTTTGACCATGTATTTCAGGGCATTATTTGTTTGACAGATACCACATTCAATGACTAAACACCTGTAAGCATAAGTCACCATCACTCCCCAGTAACCTCAAAAGTGTTGGTGGGCCTAATAACATTTAAGACAGTCTTTTCCATACACTTCTAAAACTTCATAACACATTAATTAGTACATGCTTTTTTCCTAGTGGAATCAATAGCTTTTGCATTGTGGTAATAATAGAGCAGGGTAGTAGAGCTTTTATTTTTGCAGTTAAATTACCTAGGATCCTTTTCTGATAGCAGAGGGTAGGGAATCATCTCTGAATTGTAGTTATATTACTGAGAGTATGTAATGAAAAGTTATAACTTAATGTCTTGGTCTTGGTGCAATGGTACATAAAACCAGCTTTATAAATAGTTGTTTTAAATACTATAAATTTTGAACTACCTCATTTTGAAGCTAAAAATCTAACATATATGTTAGTTATATCATTATGTTTTAAAATGTGTTAGACTATGTTTTCCTCAATTTAAAAAAATTCTGTAAGAACAAGGGTGTTTGTTGTTTTTCCATTGCTCAGGCTGGAGTGCAGTGGCGCAATCCCAGCTCACTGCAGCCTTCACCTCCTGGGTTCAAGTGATTCTCCTGCCTCAGCCTCCTGGAAGCTGAGACCACAGGTGTGCACCACCACACCTGGCCACCGTTTTTGTATTTTTTGGTAGAGATGGGGTTTCACCATGTTGGCCAGGCTGGTCTTAAACTCCTGACCTCAAGTGATCCACCTGCCTCGACCACCCAAAGTGCAGGGATTATAGGCATGAGCCACCGTGCCTGGCCAAGAAAATACTTTTTAAATAAAAATTTATTACTTTATATTAATTGTAGGTTACCATAATTAATATTAAGAGATGCAAATATACTCGTAATTGGTAATATTTACACAATACTGTCAAATGTTCCTTGTGCTTGGTAGACAAAATCTCTGTCCTGGAATATTTCTATTTGAAATTTACAATTCTGACTTTGTTTCCTTGAATAATGTATTAGAATGTTGTTTTTCTATTAACACGTTATAATTAATTCTAGTATTATTCGAACAATTGATGGTAAAGTGCTACACAAATATAAACATCCGGCTGCAGTGTTTGGTTGTGATTGGAGCCAAAACAATAAGTAAGTGGTTTTTTCTGAAATAAATAATAACTGCATTTTGGAAACTTTAAATAACCATAAAGTTTAGTGCTATTTCCAAAGGTAATATTTATCACTCTATTTATACAATATCCCCTTTGCCTGGCAAATGAGAAATAGCCTTGTAATTGTTCATTTGTTTTAGTTAGTTTTATTCCATGAAGTTTTTACACGATTTACAAATACTGATTTCTTACTCTCAAAAAACTTTCTAACACATAGGAAAAAAAATAATGCTAACTAATGAAAAATGGAAATGAGTCCATTGCATGTATGGCTTCTGTCATAGAAATGTGGCCCTTTTTTAAATCTCACTGAGGAATCTGCGGTGCCAGTGCTCCGCTGTGACTTTGCATTGTCCCCCACCTGATGCTAATGCCTCTGGTACTGGGTAATTTTCCACGATGTGGAACTTAAGGGCCTGGTTTTGAAAGGTCGATCTTGTTTGACAGCAGAGTATTTATCATGTAAAAATCAGCTTAGATTTAAAATTATGTCCAAGTCAAATCTCCACTAAAATTAGACCTTTAACTCATTGCATTTCTTAGAATATTGTGTTTCAAGCCTCTTTTAATGGGATATAAAATATATCTAAAAATTCAAAGTTATTTAAGATATTGTCAAAAACAATGTGAATTATGTTATTTCATATGAAATGTGGGAAATACAGATTAAGGTACTAAAGCCTAACTATACTTGTGTTCCGAGTCAAATCACACATTTTACAAAATGACAGACCTATGTGTTTCCTCCAGTAAGTGCAGAAGAATGTGTAACACACTGTTTTTTGTGGGGTTTTTTGAGACAGAGTTTCGCTCTTGCTGCCCAGACTGGAGTGCAGTGGCGCGATCTCGGCTCACGGGGCTCACGGCAACCTCCGCCTCTCGGGTTCAAGCAGTTCTCCTGCCTCAGCCTCCTGAATAACTGGGATCTGCAGGCATGCGCCACCACGCCCAGCTAATTTTATATTTTTGGTAGAGACGGAGTTTCTGCATGTTAGTCAGGCTGGGCTCAAATTCCCAACCTCAAGTGATCCACCCGCCTCGGCCTCCCAAAGTGCTGGGATTACAGGCATGAGCCACCACACCCGACCTTACACACTGTTAAGGTTATATGTAAAATAAGCTCACTATCTGCTCATCCTCAGTATTTCCTATCTCAGTGGCCAATATTGCTAACAAGAAAAACTGCTAAAGCCAGAATCCTTAGCCTTTTCTTTTACACATTTTTATGCCTCACTTTCCATTTTCAATCAGCCACCAATGCCTGTAATTTTCTCTGTCTAAGTATTCATCTTGTCCGGGTATGGTGGCTCATACCTCTAATTCAAGCACTTCAGAAACTGAGGCCAGAGCGTCACTGGAGCTCAGGAGTTCAATACCAGGCTGGGCAACATAGTGAGACTTCATCTCTTAAAAAAAAAAAAAAAAGAAAAAATTAGTCAGACTGGTGGGGCACACTCGTAGTCACAGCTCCTCGGGGGGCTGAGGTGGGAGGATGGGTTGAGTCCAGGAGGTCGAGGCTGCAGTAAGCCATGATTGTGCCGCTGCACTGCGGCCTGGGTGATAGAGCCAGACCCTGTTTCAATTTAAAAGAAAAAAATATAAATTTTTCCTATCAACCTGCCACTAAACCAATAACATCTGGGTTTTTTTGAGTCCTGCAGAAACCTTCTAAGTCAATTCTACAGTTTACACCCTTTATCATCACCTCCTCTCTCTCTCCCTCACCTCTCCATGTTGCAGTCAGAATGAACATTTAAGACACAGAGCTGAGCACACCATTCTACTGCTTAAATCTTTCCATACTTTCCCATTAACTGTAGGATAAAATGAAAACTCTTTAGCAAGCACCGCAAGAAGGTCCCTGACTAATCTTTTCCCTATTTTATTAATCTCATTCCCAGGCTTGCTTTCCCTTACTTCTTGCATCCAGCCACACTGGCTTTCAGTTTATTGAACTAGCCATCTGATTTTCGCCCCAAGGCTTTCACTTATATTGGCCGCCTTACCTAGGATTCTTTTTCCCATCCTACACCGCACACCCTACCTGGGTGGGACATAGATAACTGCTACCCATCCTTCAGCTTTCAGCTCAACAACCACAGAAAAGTATTCCTTGACCCCATATGAAATAAGTTTCCCATATAATATGCCTTTGGAGCACTTAATATAGTAAAACTAAATTTTATTTATTGCCTGGTTGCATAACGACTGTCTCACCCTCTGAAATGTAAGCCCTGTGAGATTGCCAACTGTGTTATCTGTGTTAAACAGCATATTCTTAGCGAAGCACTGAGTTGCTGACCCTTACTATGCCTTGAAAAAAGGAGATATTCAATAAATATTTGTTAAATATGCAAATGAACAGAATTACCTTGTATCTGACTAATAGAACAGTTCCACATTCCTATTTCTCTGTTTTATAGAGTTAATAACCCATTTGGCCAGTTGAAATAAAAGTTAGATATTCATATAATATGTTTAGTTATTTAAGAAAGCTTTATTTTCAGATGACACTGGAAGTCCTTTATATTTAACTATTATGCTTACTACCAAGCATACCTAATACATTTCATTTTTAATTTTAAAAACCTTTTAAAATGTTTTAATTGCTGTATTCATATTCCACTTAGCATCTTAGTAGGTAAGTGAACCTTGAACATAACAAAGTTTATTTATAAGATATCTCTGACTGTGTAATTTCGATATCTTTATGTGCATTCTTTAAATGTTTATGATACCATTTCTAAGACTTTATATTTATGTATCTGCACATACATATATAAAAATATACTCATATATACATGTAAATATATATATATGTAAAATATATTTCCCAAGTGTAGAAACTGTCTTGTTTATCAGTGGGCCTTGAGAAGATGTAATCTTATAACCCATATAATGTAATATAAGTCTTATAACCCATGTGACAAAGTCAACAGTTTGAAGTTTTGAAAGGGTTTTGATGACAGTTGAGATCCACACTGTGTAACTGCCTTTCTTTATGTTTAGCACGTGGAGACCGTTTATGTGATGGTTAGAGTAGATGTTCCTCAAGTAGACTATTCTGGCAGGTCCGTGATTTCCACAGGTCTGCCTAGTACTCAGAATTCGTTTCCTAGCAGTATTCCAAGTTTGATCACGAAGGTACAAGCAGTTGCTTAGCTTATTCTCACTATTGTGAGAATGATGAGCAAAGAACATTAAAAGATCATATTCTATTTCCAGGGACTCCATAGTTGTATCAAACAGTTAAAGCATCTTAAAGAAGGGAAGCCATCAAAAAGGAATGGAAAACTGGACTCTGACTCCCTGTCCAATGAGACAACCCTAGTCTGCAGGAAGCTTTTCCAAAAAACTTTCAGTGAGAATATTGCTGTTTATACCCATGCCACAAAAACAATCTAACAAATGGGCTAAGGCGTGTAATAATAATTTGCCCACCAGCAAGTAAGCAAATGTCATCACTCACCATTTGGGATGCTTCTTAACACCTAAATGTTGCAAAATGTAAAGTTTGAGAAAAATTCAGAAAATTATGAGTCTGGTCATCTTGAAAAAGAACTTACAGGAATAGAAATACCATGACCTCTGACCTAAAATAAATAAAATAAAAATTCGACCAATTAAAAGAAAACGCAGAAAGAAACTCTTTCCATACTGGTGCAGTTTCTGTAAATGAGTAGTAGAGTGATTACACATGATTTTTTACATGTGTAAGTTTTTAATCTAACTTCGCTAAGGAAGCAAAAATTCTACTTTTAGAAATTAGAACTATCGTATACCTTTAATTATTAGTTATATATCATATTTATCCTATGTCAATATTCCATTGATGATATTTCAGAGACATGATAGCCACTGGCTGTGAAGACACAAATGTTCGTGTTTATTACGTAGCCACCAGCTCAGATCAACCATTGAAAGTATTTAGTGGGCATACAGCAAAAGTGTTTCATGTTAAATGGTCTCCTCTGAGAGAGGGAATTCTTTGCAGTGGTTCTGATGATGGGTATGTATTTTTGGATTCTAATTTTCTAGTCCTTAAAATCATAAGCTGATATTTTCCTAGAAATGTACGTATTTATAGGATCAAATTATATGTGGAAATATATATATATTTAGACAGAGTCTCCCTCTGTCACCCAGGCTGGAATGCAGTGGCGTGATCTCGACTCACTGCAACCTCCACCTCCCAGGTTTAAGTGATTCTTCTGCCTCAGCCTACCGAGTAGCTGGGAACCACAGATTTAGTATTGAATGATTAAGCATTTTTATTGAATTTTTGGCATAAATCCAAATTTAATAAGAAATAATTATGAGATTTCTCTAGGTAATGACTTGAAATAAGTCAGAATGTTAGGGAAATCAGTTATGCTGCTGTATTCATGACAGAACTCAGATGCTGTGCTTCGGCCTGGAAAGCCTCAGGCACTCATTTGCAGTGGGGCCTGTAAAAGCCTTTCTTAGATTTGACCAAAAAACATGCATTGGGGCTTCAAAGCCTAACTACCTAACATGTCATAAAAGGAAAGACGCCTGTTCTAGTGGCCCCTACAATAGCATTAAATTGTTTTGATACAAGTCCCTTTAATGTATTCTTATTTATGAAAGTATATCAAATGTAAAATATTTAAATGTTAACATATATCAGAAATTAGCAACAAAAAATTTAGATTATAATATACTTTGATATATTGTCATGTACTAGCTTAAGAGGACGAAGAAGAAATGAAACTCTTTTTTTTTGAGACAGAGTTTTGCTCTGTCACCAGGCTGGAGTGCAGTGGTGCGATCTCAGCTCACTGCAACCTCCGCCTCCCGGGTTCAAGCGATTCTCCTGCCTCAGACTTCCTAGTAGCTGGGACTACAGGTGTGCACCACCACACCCAGCTAATTTTTGTATTTTTAGTAGCGATGGGGTTTCACCATGTTGACCAGGATGGTCTTGATCTCTTGACCTCATGATCCGCCCGCCTCAGCCTTCCAAAGTGCTGGGATTACAGACATGAGCCCCTGTGCCTGGCCAAAAGGAAACTTTTTATGTAAAGCAGAAAGGGATATGCCTTAAGAAATAAGAATATATCATTTATCTCCTGTTATGTAGTGCAAAATAGTAATACTTTTGAAGTACTACTATTTTGTTATCTGTTTGACATTTATCTCTGACTAAAAAATTACTGTGAATTGTCTAAGCAAAATTAGCAGTTGGAGGTCTTACACTGATTGTAAGTTAAATTTTAATTTCAGAAACATTTGTACAATCAATAGATACAAGTAATTTCACGAATCCAGTTATATTTAAATTCTTTAACTTGATCTAAGATTTATTCTGCACCGACCAAGCAACTTATATCACTGACAAAAATGTGAAGGAATTATTTGCTGTATTGATTAAAGCATAAATATGAAGCGACATTTCAAATAATACCCATCATCATACATGCTATACTTTTATAATTTAAAAATAATCTTAATATCTTAAATTATTGTATCTGTATTATTAGTCGTATTTTCCACTTTGGTTATATCTGTTTTTGATATTTCATTTTAACAAAGCAATTTTATTCACATAAAAACTGTGAAATAATATATTTGCTACCAGTAATAAATGAAGAGTAAAAGTCAAGAAAGAAAATATGTTTAAATAAGCTAACACTAGCCTAGTTAAATATTCATTTCCATCTACTATGAAGAAAAGTGTGTGAGAGGATGAATTTGTTAATAATTAGCTTGATTTAATTATTCCACATTGTAAGCATATATCAAAATATCACCAAATATATACAGTTATTATTTTTTAAATTAAAATGAAGAGAACCTTTTATCTTGAGACATAAAATGCTTCTAGATAAGCTAATCAATAATTATTACACTCTATTAAGAATATGTTAATACTCTAGATACATTAGAACTTGAATGTTATCACACCCATAATATTCTGTTTTCAGTACCGTTCGCATCTGGGATTATACTGAAGATGCTTGCATCAGTATTCTTAGTGGACACACTGCACCTGTGAGGGGATTATTGTGGAATACTGAGATTCCGTATCTGCTCATATCTGGCAGCTGGGACTATACTATAAAAGTATGGGACACTCGAGAAGGAACTTGTGTGGATACTGTGTATGATCACGGTGCAGATGTATATGGTAAAGTGTCTTTCATTCTTTCATGTATTTGTTATATTGACCTACTAATGGTGCTTATAATTTCTGAGGAATACAGTATTTTTGAAGAAGTTATACAGTGTTTTATTTTACAATAACATTTTTTCACGTTAGAAAATATACATGTTTATTATTATAATACCACAGTATACAGAAGAAAAAGTCAACAGAAATTATCGAAGATGACTGCTGTTAGCACTGTGGTGTCTTTCTCCCCCTCGCCCCGTCTGCACCCATTTCTGTGTACACACAAACACGCACACAATGCACACATATTGCGATGGGCGTATATATATATGTCTGGCTTTTGTTTTTCTTCCTTCCTTTGACATCACTCCAGAGGTAAGTTGTTTAACAGGAAATCAGTAATAGAGTAGATACCACTTATTTAACCATTCTTCTATTCTTGGATGTTTAGTACAGTGTTTTGTTTTTGAATATAATCCCAAGTTGTTTTAATATAATTAACGTAATTATGGAAAATCAGATTACTTACCATTTGCACATCTCTTCACTCTCATTCTTGTTTGTATTTATTCTCATCCTTAAACCTTGATAGGAGTAAATGGGCAGATTAAGAATCCAAAAATGATTTCTTAGAGAAAGTAACCTCAATCTAGATCAGATTCAAATCCATATGCTTAACCACAATGGCCTTTTAGCCAAGATAATGCGAGACTGAGTGTGGGAGAGAATCATATTTGTCAATATTCGAACTGAAAGGTCCCCAGGTCTTCGTCTTTTAACTAGAACGTCATCTGCCCATCCATTAACTCACAGATACTATGTATGCTATTGGTTTTACAGTATACTTGTTGCTGCTTAACCACACGAAATATAATTTTCACATTTTCATACATGACCATTTGCTTTCTGATCATTTTTTTCTCTTTCTTTCTTTCTTTCTTTTTTTTTTTTCTTTTTTTGAGACACGAGTCTCACTCTGGCTCTATTGCCCAGGGTGGTATACAGTGGCGCAAACAGCTCACTTCAACCTTCACCCCCCAGGCTCAAGAGATCCTCCCACCTCAGCCTTCCAAGTAACTGGGGTTACAATCACGTGCCACCACACCCAGCTAGTTTCTGTGTTTTTGGTAGAGATGGTATTTCATCATGTTGCCCAGGCTGATCCCAAACTCCTGGGCTCAAGGGATCCACCCGCCTCGGACTCCCAGGAAAGTGCTGGGATTACAGGCGTGAGCCACCATGTCCAGCCTCTAATAGTTATTCAATTTTATATTCATATTTATAGGATATATGAAATGATTTATTGCATTCTGTTACTATTTTCAGCCAATGTATTAAATACAGATACAAGGTTGACTAAGAATCTTTCAGTTACTCATAATATTTCTTCATAGCTTCAATTCTGTAGAAGTTTTATGAAGCACATATAAATAAAGAATATTTTTCAATGTTCACTTTACTTAAAATAGATGTTTATTTTCATCAGGTTTAACCTGCCATCCCAGTCGCCCCTTCACTATGGCCTCTTGCTCCCGTGACTCTACAGTGAGACTCTGGTCATTAACAGCCTTAATCACTCCTGTACAAATAAATATTCTGGCAGACAGATCTTGGGAAGAAATTATTGGGAACACTGGTATGGAATATATACATGTATCATAGTTTATTTCTAAACGTTTTATGAGAAATCTTCTCTCACTGAATTATGTCTGTTTTTCAGATTGTGCTGTAGAACCAGGCACTCCTCCTCTACTGTGTGGTAAAGTGTCAAGAGATATTAGACAAGAAATAGAAAAACTAACCGCTAATTCTCGAGTGAAAAAACTAAGATGGTTTTCAGAATGTTTATCCGTAAGTATTACAGGAATTAAATGCGAATATTTTCCCTTTAGCCAACGTGAATCTTTACAACTATTTTCACATATTTACATGTACCATTCTAATTCATTGGGTACCTCCTACCATAATCTGTACACTTTAAGAAAGCAAATGTGAAACTGGAAACAATACATGAAATAACATGTAGTTATTTTATTAATTTTTAAATTTAGATATGCCTGCATTATAATATTTTTGAAGATGTAAAATACTATGAGGTTTTTAATTCACTATTACATATTTATTTTTTATCAACTCTCTAGCCTCCAGGTGGCAGTGACAATTTATGGAACTTGGTTGCTGTGATAAAAGGACAGGATGACAGCTTACTTCCTCAGAACTACTGCAAAGGAATAATGCACTTGAAACATCTGATTAAATTTAGAACAGTGAGTAAAGTATGCAAATATGATGTACTCAAGCAAATTTTTTGCCTTTTCACTATTAAAATATAAAACTGGTTTGAAAAATATGTATGATTAGATTGGTAGATTTAAATAAATGAACACTGAGGAGATCTGTCTTGGGTAAAATGAATCATGAAAGTGAATTACTTGGGAACAGATTAAGTCAATCGTGGTTATCATCAGTTGAGTCTCATGAAATTCCTTCAAGGTCACTTGGAACTCCTTGAAATGCTTTATCTTTCCCCTATTAGCAGATGATTGTGACATATGGACTATTCTAATTTTAGTCTCAGAGGGCCTAATAGGCTATTCTGGGATAAATTTTATAAAAAATGATCATATTATAGCTCTTAATGAATTTCAGTAAAAACTAGTAGTTACCTCATCCCTGGGGCAATCTACAGTACTAACCACAAAACCTGTCCTGGGACCAGAAAGAAAAAATTGCTTGTATATTTTTCTGGAATATCTATAGTGAACTGTTAAAGCATGGAGACAGTTGTGCCAGAGATGTGATCTAATGCTCATAAAGAGAGTTTTTTCCATAATGAGGAAGTACTTTCTTTAATCGCAAACTAAACACCTAATGACTGTAACTGCAAAATCTGACAGGAGAGGAGCTAATTAAAGTAAGCCAGTAACTTTTTATTTTTACTAGAGGCCTCTTTGTATTGTTATATATTACTGATTACCTTTTATCTGTTCTGTGTAACTACAACAACTGGACAGGGTTAAGGAAAATGGGATTCAGTCTCTCCCCTCCTGTGTCCCACACACACCCCAAAATATTATGTTTAGAAAGGTATCATATTTTATGGAGAAAAATATTTTTAAAATATTGACTTTCCAGAGCTATATGCTTTTGAAGTGTATTCATGTAACGTTTATATGCTCATTGTTATGAACTCTTGTAAAATAATTTTTTAAATTTTTAATTATTATGGATGCATAATAGTTTATGGGGTATATGTGATATTTTCATACAAGCATACAATGAGTATTGATCAAATCAGGGTAACTGAGGTATCCAGCACCTCAAGCATTTATCTTATTTTGTGTGTGAAGAACATTTCATTTCCTCTCTTTTAGTTATTTTGAAATATGCAACAAATTGTTGTGATACATACAAAACAAAATATGACAGATTTTTTAAAATTCTGTTTTCTTTTTTAAACTAGTCGGAAGCTCAAGAACTAACAACAGTCAAGATGTCTAAATTTGGTGGTGGTATTGGTGTACCTACTAAAGAGGAAAGACTGAAGGAAGCTGCTGAAATCCACTTGAGATTAGGACAAATTCAGAGATACTGTGAACTTATGGTTGAACTTGGAGAGGTAATGTGCTATGAAAGTGAAACTAATGAGTTTAACATAGTAGTCTAAATATTAAGAATATACTCAATTTTAAGTATTAAAAATAAAAAGCTCAGCACTTTGGAGGCCAAGGTGGGTGGATCACTTGAGCCCAGGAGTTCGATACTAGCCTGGGCAACATGGTAAAACCCACCTCTACAAAAAACACAAAAAATTAGACAGGCATGGTGGTGCACACTTGTAATCCCAACCTTGGGAAGCTAAGATGAGAGGATCAGTTGAGCCCAGGAGGCAGAGGTTGCAGTGAGCTATGATCATACCACTGCACTCCAGCCTGGGCTACAGAAAGAGACCCTGTCTCAAAAAAAAAGGTTGGGTGCAGTGGCTCACGCCTGTAACCCCAACACTTTGGGAGGCCAAGTTGGGTGGACCATGAGGTCAGGAGATTGAGACCATCCTGGCCAACATGGTGAAATGCTGTCTCTGCTAAAAATAAAAAAATAAAAAAACTGGCTGGGTGTGTGGCGCACACCTCTAGTCACAGCTACTTGGGAGGCTAAGGCAGGGGGAATCGCCTGAACCCGGAGGCAGAGGTTGCAGGAAGCCGAAATCTTGCCACAGCACTCCAGCCTGGGTGACTCCATCTCAAAAAAAAAAAAGGAAAATAAATGTATATACCCTGTGTGCTGTCTCACACCTTCACACCTGTAACCCTACCACTTTGGGGGACCAAGGCAGAAGGATCCCTTAAGGACAGGAGCTCGGGATCAGCCTAGCCAACATGGAGAAACCCCGCCTCTACTAAAACTACAAAAATTAACCCAGCGTGATGGCATGTGCCTGTAATCCTAGCTACTCAGGAAGCTGAGGCAGGAGAATTGCTTGAACCTGGGAGGCGGAGGTTGCAGTGAGCCGAGATCACACCATTGCACTCCAGCCTGGCGACAGAGCAAGGTTCCGTCTCAAAAAAAAAAAGGAAGCTTACTTTTTTACAAATCTAATTGATTCTCTATCAATCTGATATTAAGTGTAGACGTTAGGAGAGTAGTTATCAAAGTGTTCCAGGACAGCAGCATGAGCATCGCTGGGGATCCCTATGCATGTCTCACCTCAGACCTACAGAATCAGAAACTGTGGGGTTGGAGCCCAGCCATCTTACGTTTTCATACGCTCTCCGTGTTATTCTCTTGCATTCTAAAGTTTGAGAACTACCACCCTAGGCTGGAATCTTAACTTCTTACAAACAAACATAACAAACAAAAAACTATGTTGGCTAATTAGTTCACAATAGAATCCCCTTGCTAATACTACTTGTCATAACTAAATCCCACACTGGCCAGAAAAAGGGTTTCTGCTGAATATCATCTGATAAAGGATGATGATTGTTTAATGGAGGACTAAATCAGCAAAACTGATTTTTACAGAAAGGTTAGGATGAATTGATGCTTTTGCTACCCTGTGGTATATGGGTAGTGACTACAATGGAACACGGGAGAGTGGGGCTTCTGTTTCTTGATCCTGGGTGTTGATTACATGGGCACATTCAGGTTGTGTAAACTTATTGGACCTTTCCCTTTTCTGTATATGCATTTTAGTTCAGTGAAAATTCTCCCTTTCCCTGCCTCACCAAAACAATGGTTAGAATGGCATGGACTTATCTCATAGCTTATCATCTTTTAAAATGTTTAAGTTAGTTAATTGTGTAGCTACAAAGCATGATATTAAGAATACTTATAAATAATATAAAGTAAAACTAAGCAATATGGTTACATTAAAATAAATCAAAACTAAATTTAGCTCACCTTTTTACTTTCCACATACTTCAAGAAAACAATGAATTACTGCTTGACCCCAAATAATGTGCCATTTTAAAATGTTATTGAAAAGGCATTATAAATTTAAAAGTATTTTAATTTAGGAGCAATGTAAAAATTTTCCTTGTAAAGTAGTAAATATTTAACTAAAAGTTGCTTTTTTAAAGCACCACTACTGCAGAGAAGATCTATCAAAAGTCAAGGAGAAAAGGAATTAATAAATTTTGATAGAACAGTGTAATTCTTTATCTTTCTGAGTTTTATATTTGATTAAATATAATTGAAACTGCCTTTAACTCAAAGCCTATTTCAATCAGGTATCTGTTTGTGAAGCTTAATAATTTTATTGTTATGCAGGTTCATCAGTGTACTTAAAGTGATCCATAAAACTGTGCAAGTTGTTAGAAATATGGGTGTCCTAAGCTGGGCACGGTGGCTCACGCCTGTAATCCCAGCACTTTGGGAGGCTGAGTCAGGTGGATCACCTGAGGTCAAGAGTTCGAGAACAGCCCTGAGAACATGGTGTAACCCTGTCTCTACCAAAAATACAAAAATTAGCTGGGCGTGGTGGCGGATGCCTGTAGTCCCAGCTACTTGGGAGGCTGAGGCAGGAGAATCACTTGAATACAGCAGGCGGAGGTTGCAGTGAGCCAGGATCATTCCATTGTACTCCAGCCTGGGTGACAAGAATGAAACTCCGTCTCAAAAGAAAAAAAAAAAGAGAAGAAAAGAAATATGGGTGACCTTAGAATTATTCGTAATCACTTCCTTAGGAATGTTTTTTATTTGTTTAAGCTTAATACTGTGGGATTAGGTAAACATTTAATTTTTTTATTTATTAGACAAGTTTCTATTGAAAGAGTTTGTGGTGAATTCAAAGTTAATTTAATCTACATTCCAACTTCTTTCTTCCGTTAGAGACAGATTTCCCCTGAAAACATATTTTAAGATACCTTTTAGGTAACATGATTTTAAATATGTAGTATTAAAAATTGCCTGTTTAAAATTTAATATACTCTTTTCTGGTTAATTATCAATATTCTAGTGATAATTACAGTAGAACCCTAGTGTTTTGAAGAGCCTTAATTAGAATGAATTTTGCTTCATGTAGTGATATTTCAGAAAATTTTCTTCTCAGTTCCACTCTAGACTGGAATTCAGTGAAATCTATATTTTCATATAACAGTAACAATCAGTCTTTATTAAACAATGAGCTTCTTCAAAGGAAGTCCAATTTTTAAATATGAAGACAAGTATTATGAGTTAAATGAAGAAATGACAATAAATAAAATTTGTTAAAATGAGTAGGAAAGGATAAAAGAGACATAGATGGTATATTTGTTCATGTAAGTAGCAGTGAAATAAAAATGTTAATATTTTGAACACCATAGAACAAATTACTCTGGAGTTGTATTAGAAGATGAGTCAATATATTTTTCAAAGAACATATTTTAGTTACTATTTCTTTTCTCCTCTTCCTTTCTCTCCCTCAGTCTCTCCTTCCATTTTTCTCTCTCTTTCTCTCTGGGTTTAGGACTGGATTTTCCCTAAATAATAGAATTTTACATATTTTATTTTAAAATATTTTAATGTTTTAAAAATTTGTGGAAAATGGAATTAAAAGATAACAATAAAAAATAAATATTTTTCTCAACTTCTTCAAGCTCCATCAAGTTAAAGACACTTTTGTAAGTGATGACACCAACCATTTAGTCCTTCCCTAAGGAGCTGAGGGGTCGCTGGAATTTAACCATGTCAATACAGTCTTTTTTACTTTGTCTTGTCTTTTGTTTTGTTTTGGGTTTTTTGAGATGAAGTCTCGCTCTGTTACCCAGACTGGGGTGCAGTGATGTCATCACGACTCACTGCAGCCTCGAACCCCTGGGCTCAAGCAATCCACTCCACTCAGCCTCCCAAGTAGCTAGAACTACAAGTGTGCACCACCACACCTGGCTAATTTAAAAAAAAAAAAAATTGTTTTGGTAGAGATGAGGGCCTTGCTGTGTTGCCCAGGCTGGCCTCAAACTCCTAGACTCAAACAGTCCCCCCACCTCAGCCTCCCAAAGCACTGGCTTTACAGGCATCAGGCACCATGCCCAGCTTCTTTTATATTATTAAGAGGGGTAAAATTAGCGTTCTTTAAAGATTTTTTTTAAGACTACGGAACAAAAAGAAGACAGAGGGTACCAAATCAGGACTCAAGAACTCTATAATTTCTATATTATAAACAGGAATCTTTTTTAAGTGTCTTAAGAATTATACAGAGCAACCGAAATTAATATGCTCCTGCTCTTTTTGCCTTCTATTCTAGTGGGACAAAGCCCTGTCAGTTGCACCAGGGGTCTCTGTGAAATACTGGAAGAAGTTAATGCAGAGGTAAGGCAGAGAGAGTCCATGTTAAAATAGAAGCAGTATATAAATATGGCAGTAGCTCTTGAGATTTCTTATTCTTATGTTGTCTTAAATAATAACTAAATTTTGTATCTACTGATACAGTAAATGAAATGAATCAGTTACAAATAATTTTGGTGTTCTTGAATTTGACTTGGCCTCTGATGAAGACAGCAGAAGGCAAATTTCTCCATGTCAATGGAGAGAAGGACAGATCAGCAAACAGACTCACTGATTAATAAGTTGGTATTGAAATACAAGTGGCAAGATTTCCTGAAGGTTAGCATAGGTTCGTGAAATACTATTCTATGAATTATCCCAAAAATCTTCTCTGTAGGCACTAATTCCTGCCATTTCTTCCCCATGGATATGAGGAAGGCACTGATGATAAAGAAGGGTCTGAGCACTGAGGAAACTTAACTAAACATTCTTGTTTTCGAATGCAGTAAACCAACAAGATTTGCTCTCAAGTGTATTAGTTTCCTGGGGTTGCCATAAAAAAAAAAAAAAAAAAAATTGCCATAAAATGGGTGGCCTAAAACAACAGAAATTTATTTTCTCACAGTTCTGGAGGCCAGAAGTCTGAATCAGGTTGTCAGCAAAGTTGGTTTCTACTGGAGGCTCTGAGAAAGAATTAGTTCCATGCTTCTCTCTTGGTGTCTGGTCGCCTGCAGTCCTTGGCATCTTGTGGCTTTTCGACGTGTCACTCCAGTCTCCCTTATCTTCACATGGCATTATTCCCTGTGTGTCTCTGTGCCCAAATTTCCTCCTCTTACAAGTCATGAGTCATATTGGATTGAGGCCCTACCCTAATCCAGTATGACCCGTATTACTTTAACTAATTACATCGACTAAGACCCTGTTTCCATAAAGGGTTACATTCACAAGTATTGGGGGTTAGGACTTCAACATATTGTTAGAGGGACACGTTTAAACCTACAACATATGATTATTCTCTGTTCTATTTTATTCTACTCTCTTCTATGCTATTCGTTCATTTAACAAATACTTAATGCCTACTCTATGCCAATCACTGTGCTAAACTTACAGAGTAGTATATATTATTATGCAGTTACCTTGCTTCTGACATTAAAAACAGAAATTTGGATTTTTCTTTTATGGAACATGGTTTAGTGGCAAAAAATCAACTGCTGCTTACAGACACAAGTAAAAATCAATCAAAGGCTAAACATAAAATTCGGAAGGATTAACACATTTGCTGTGGGAAAGTAGACTGTTCCCAAGCACCTGTTCTCCCAACAGTAAGTGAAGCAACAGGCTGATTGTAGCCATCAGATTTTAGGCTCCCTCTCCTGAGCTTTAAGAATCCCCAGTGCTCTAAGTCCCTGTACCCTCACAGCACAATTGTGAATGTTACTGCTCTCACCAAATCCTTAAAGTCAAGTTAGCAGAGGATATTTATTTCACAAAACATTATTTCAATCTCAGCAAAAACTTAATGGAATTCCATTTAAGACCAAGGTGGAGTCACTCAGTGTTAATATTGCAGAATAAAAGTAAATGTAGTTTGTATTCTATGTGATTATTGACACATTTTAATAGCATCTAGTCATATTAATATGCTACTACATTGCTTTCTATGCTAGCTAGGTATCTATGAATTTAAAATGTGATGTATCCTCAGATAAATTGGAACAAAGGAAACCTGACCAAGATTGGTGCATATGAACTGAGCTATAAAGAATACATGGGAGATAACCAAGTGAAGAGGCTAGAGGAAGCATCCTAGGCTTAGGGAACAGAGTACAGAAACTCTGTGAAAGGAGACTGCTGTAGCTAGAGTGCAAGAGCCAGGAGGAAGTGATGCCAAGGGAGAGTAGGCACAAGCTAGAGGTTTTAGGGCACTGTAAATGTAGTAAGCTTTTTTTCCTTATCCTAAGAGGAACACAAGACATTAAAGGGTTTTAATTTTAAATAGGGTAGAAACTGATGTGACCAGTTCTTCATTTAGAATGTCTGCACAAGCTGAAATATCAAGAACAGATTAGAGAAGGTCAATAGCAGATATGAGGAGGCCAGTTAGAAGGCAGTTAGAGTAGCTGAGTCAGGAGACAGCAGTAGCGTGGATGCCATATGTAGTGATGTGGGGACTGAGAGAAGTAGACGAATTTGATATATCTAGGAGTTAAAATTAACTGGATTTGGTAATAGAGATGAGGAAGGTATCACAAAAAATTTTTAGGTTTTAGGTTTGAAAAACTGGATAGGAGCTGTTGCTAATCACTGGGATTTAAAAACAAACAACTAAAACAACAACAAAAGCAAAACCATTAGGAGAGGATTTGAATCAAATGGCACAAAAAAATCATTAGTTCTCTTTGGACATGTTGAGCTTGAAGTTCCTTGTGATTTTGTGGTATTGTTCAATAGGCAGTCTTGATTTTGTAGCCCAAATAAGAAATCTGGATAACATGGAGGTCATTGTTGATCTTAATAAGAGCTGTTTTGATAGAAAGAAGCAGACTGAAGCAAGATTAGAATTGATTTAGTGGGGAAGGAAAAGGAGGAGGCAAATGCGAATATACAAAACTCTTCCAATTCTGTTTCATTTATCTTTGAAAGCCAACTCCTGATTTTCTCTGCCCCTTAGCCCATGTAGCTGCCAGAAAGTAGTCTCTCCACAACTCCTGCATTTGTACTTTATAGATCCAGCCATTCATTCAGATTGGCAGTGTCTCAAGCATAGTTTCAAATGCCCAGGGAAGTAGATCATTATTTGTAACCAGCTTGTTTCTAAACAGCTATAACAAGAAAATCAAAGTCACGTAGTAAAAACATAGCGTTGAGGAATACTTCAATGACCCTATGAAATTGGAGACTGTTAACAGTGAGCTGGCAAATATCATGAAAAATATTTTCCATTTTCAGCATGAAAAATATCTGCTACCCCTACCCAAAGATTAAAAATTGAATTCTGGTTTAATGCAAATGGTAGCATAAATTAAATAGACCAGGTTATTTTTAAACAAAACTGAGGTTAAACATTGAGGGTAGAATTAACTAGGGGGTTAGTCATTGAGAAAATACTTGAGACTTAGATGAGAAGATATATACACACATACACAGAGAGAGGGAGAGAGATTGAGAGAGATGGGTGCAGAGAGACAGAGACAGATATGGAAACAGACACATGTGCACCCTTCACAGTCTCTAAGATTACCGTTCCCTTTCTCCCTTCACATGTCTGGAATATTATTTTTCTGTAATCTTCCTCACTTAGGGCACTTAAAACATTCTACATGTTATTGTTAATATTTATGTTTCTATATTCTCTTTCTTAGTGATTTTTAAGCTACTTGAGCTTCAAGGTTCTCTATTCATTGTTAAGGCTTCCTAAAACAATTAAAATTTTCTGTCTTTAACAGTGTAGATACCCAAATATTTGCTTAATCCACCTGATATCCTATCACACATATCTTGTATAAAACATATTTTTGAATAGACTAATTGTCCATTTTAATAGATAAACTACATTGATTTTAAGATCTAAAATGTTCAGGCATATTTTATGTCCTGTTCTAAGGGCAAACAAGTTCCTATAGTATTTATGATTTTATGTCATGTTCTAAGGGCAAACAAGTTCTTATAGTATTTATTATTTCATGCAACTTTTATCTGTCTTCCACATGTAATTTGATTATAAAATGTCTTTTTATTTTTTAAAATATGCCAAAGGGCTTTATGAAATCTGCTACAAATTTTAGCCATACTTTCAGAAAATCTCAATTCACCTAAACACCTTCAAAAAATATATTGTTTAAAAAATTGTCCTTGTTTTATTAGGAGAGCTGACCAATTAATCCAGGAAGATAAGGATGATGTCATTCCATACTGCATAGCCATTGGTGATGTGAAAAAGCTGGTCCATTTTTTCATGTCAAGAGGTCGGCTTAAAGAAGCTCTGCTTGTTGCACAGGTAAAACCATGTGATTATACAAGTCACACACATGGATGGGTGAGCATGTAGAAGGGAGAAGATTGTGTTGACTAGCTCACCCTTACCTAATTGACAAAGTCATAAAGGGTTTGGTTTCTGCCCTCCTTCCTGGCCTTCTTTCTCATCATTTGAGAGCATACTATTTTTGTTCTGAACACAGTGAACTTATTTTATTTTATTTTATTTTATTTTATTTTATTTTTATTTTATTTTATTTTATTATTTACTTATTTTTTTGAGATGAAGTCTCGCTCTGTCACCCAGGCTGGAGTGCAATGGCATAATCTCAGCTCACCACAACCACCACCTCCCGGGTTTAAGCGATTTCTCCTGCCTCAACCCTAGCTGGGATTACAGGCACCCATCACCATGCCCAGCTAACGTTTGTATCTTTAGTGGAGATGGAGTTTCACCATGTTGGCCAGGCTGGTCTCAAACTCCTGACCTCAGGTGATCCTCCCGCCTCAGCCATCCAAAGTGCTGGGATTACAGGCATGAGCCACCACACACAGCTGAACTTATTTTAGATCTTTAAACATATAAGCATCTCTGAACTCTAAACTTTTCACATGCTGCTGAATGTTATATACCATGCATTTGAACAACTTATTTTTAGTAATAATTCACTTGAAGCTTTTTTTGCTACACACAATTAACATCTCATTTCTCCTCAAATTCTAAGATTATCTCCAAATTATAGTATAAATTTCAAACATTAAGTATACTTTGCTCAGAATAATATTCTGAAATGTGTCAATTATCAACAATTAGCTAAAGAATAATTCAATCTTTAATTAAATCCTAGGCTGCTTGTGAAGGAAATATGCAGCCCTTACATGTTTCTGTGCCTAAAGGAGCTTCATATTCTGATGATATCTACAAGGAAGACTTTAATGAGTGAGTGATTTATTTGCTCTGGGTCCATATGTTTTATGGTTGTCTTCCCTTTAGGAATTTTTAAAGCCTCTAGAATTCATCCTTCTTTGTATACTGAGGATTTGACTGCCTCAACCTTTCTCACCATGATCCAGTTCCGTTACAGCATCTACTCCTAGATGAATAGGGAAATTTCAGGCATGGAGACTCTGTTTATACACATTTTATATAGCTTTCAGAAAAGCAAAATGCATTTTACTAGAGAGGTGGCAAGTAAGGCACCTAAACACTTACAAACTAATCAAACCTATTGGAGAGGACCAATGATGAAAATCAAGTAGACTGCTTATTCATGTTTTATTCTAAAGTTAGTGCATGTAAGTTCACAGGAATGTAGTTTATAATCCCATGACCCTAATATTGGTGTCTAGAATAACATTTGGTCATCTTTCAGAGAAGAAATCCTGATAGTTATTTTAAAAAAGAAATGAAAATTAGAATTTTTCAGCCCTCTAACCTTTTTTTAATCCAATAGTCTGCCTTCCCCCATCCTTTCTATTTGCTCCTATTATTACCCCAGAAAATAGGATATTTAAACTTTTAAGACACTCATCGAGTAGAAGAGGATCATGAAATGTTAAGCAAATAGTGTGTTGAGAATAATGTATTCTTGCCTGTGTCTTTACTGCCATTCTCTGCCATTTCTAAACTTGACATTTGAGAAAGCTAACACATGCTAGCTGTATTTTGGATACCACCTAAATTTTGAAAAATTTCGGTTCAACCTGTAATTCTTCTACACTTAACTTTCCCTGTGGCTGAGTCATAAATTGTCCAATGCAGGATGGTAAGCTTTTAAAATCAGGCTTCTCTTCTGACATTTGTGAGGATAGAGGGAGGGAGAGGCTTGTCAGACCATATACTTGTAAAGACCACTTTCCTGATTTATTTTTTTCTAAAAACAAGTCTTTAAAGCAAGTATGTCAAATTAAATTGTATTTGGTCTTTTTATCATACCTTTTAAAAAGTATTGGTTTGCTTTTATAATGGAATACTTGTGTTTATAGAGAACACATACACTTTTTCTTTCTAGACTCCTGCACAAAGTCAGTAAAGAACTGGCAGAATGGTATTTTCAAGATGGTCGAGCAGTACTAGCCGCATGTTGCCATCTTGCCGTAGATAATATTGAGGTATGACATTTAAAACTGATTTATGTAAATGAAAAGTTTTTTAGATATATCATGGTGTTTGAGAGGAAAAGATATGGTGACTTTCTGTGTGAGATCTGGTTTTGCATGCCTTCCAATTAAGTAATTACATTCCTAATTAGCACACATAAACTATGAGCTCTTGTTTTAAGTACACATAGACTATGAACTTTTGTTTTCTTTTATTTCTACCACAAGATACCTATTTGTAACAACCTTGTTTTAAACATTTCAACATATATAAGAAGTGCCAGTATAGTAAAGGGAAGAATCACTGGATGTGGACCCAAAATATCTGAGTCTTTCCTGTCACATACTGACTTTGGGCACGTCATTTAACTCTCAGAATCTCAAATGTCTTCAATTCTGAAATGAACATATGAATACCTACCTTACGTATTTCACATGTAGTCGTTAGGATTATAAGAAAAAATCCAAATGAAAGCACTTATTTTCCAGTGTATTATTCACAAGTTATAGTTTTAAAGTACCTTTCATTTGACTCTAATTTAATAAGCAAATGTTAATTAAAGATATAGATTCTATTGTGCATTTATCCTTAGATATATTGACTTTAGGAAGTGATAGATAACTGTAAAATCTTGAAGAAGCTCTTACAAATTTACATTTTTTGCTCGTCATCACTGGCCATCAGAGAAAGGCAAATCAAAACCACAATGAGATACCATCTCACACCAGTTAGACTGGCAATCATTAAAAAGTCAGGAAACAACAGGTGCTGGAGAGGATGTGGAGAAATAGGAAC